ATATATGCGAAATAAACCGAGAAACAGCTCACTTTTTGTGCACTCTAAATATACACTTTTTTCAAGGGTGGCACTGTACCTCTATGACCCTCCATTCCAATTTTTAATGCTAGCGAGCTACAGATCTGCAGCTACCGGGGGAGGGGGGCTTCTTTTTCTGAGAATAGCTACTTCTGATGAGAATAGTCTTTTGCTGTAGTTAGACCCTGCTTGTCCTCCACAACTTTTGTTGGGATAAGGTCAAACTCGAGCAAATTCCAGCGTTTGGAAAAAAAATAATTACCTGAGTTAGAGAAGGGTCCAACGCCCCACCCACTACCAACACCAACATCATGGAATAGGATTTTCGAGATTGTGGGCAGTTTAATTGTTTTTTTCCTTGTCAACCCCCACCCCATTTTGAAAAATGTTGCTAAGGGTCTGTTTCTTGAAGAAATACTTTGACAATTTTCACGGCCAATTAGCATCAATTTAATGTCTTATTTTAATATGCATGTATTATCATTACAAAACTAAACTAAAGGTACTGCAGGCCGTAGGAAGCAATTTCAGTTGGGAGGGGGGGGGGCACAACCATACATGTACATTTTCAGATTTTCAGTTGGGTGGGTTGGGGGGGGGGGGACTATCAACTACCAAAAATTCCTTGACAAGCAGACGTTTTTATTGAGGGGGCATAAGTATATAGTAGCTATGTTTTCTATAGTATTCTATATATCGGCAAATTATTGGGGCACGCCCCCCGTGTCCCCCCGATTCCTACGACCATGTACTGTGAGTACCGAGCACAACGATACCCCCGCTTCCATATCCGTGTAATGGCGAAGTTCATTTTTGTTGTGTTAAACTAAAAATATTTTTCCGATCAGAACATGAAATAGGGGATGCACAGTGGCACTATTGTGATAACGATTCTGTGAAAGTCTTATCAAATTTTTTTCAGTTGTAAAGGAGGAGTTGCAGATAAGAGATGGACACCCCCAATATCATACAAAGAATGACAATGTCCATGTTATGCCCCCGTATCGAAGATTCGGGGATATATAGTTTTTGCCCTGTCCGTCCGTCTGTCTGTCTGCCTGTTTGTCCGCAAAAACTTTAACCTTGCCCATAACTTTTGATTGGTTGAAGCTATGGCTTTCATATTTCACATGTTTATTCCTTGTGACAAGACCTTTCTTTGGGTACCATCATATTTGACCTTTTGACCTTGACCTTGGAGTTTGACCCACTTTTGCAAAATTTTATGATTCGTTTTACCTTGGCCATAACTTTTGAACAATTAGAGCTAGGGCTTTATTACTTCACATGTGTAATCCTTGTGACAAGACCTTTCTTTGGATACCAACAACTTCGACCCTTTGACCTTGACCTTGGAGTTTGACCTTCTTTTGGAAAAGTTTAATCTAAATAGAAGATGCACAACGGCACTATAATAGAATAAAGATTCTGTGAAAGTCTCATTAAATTTTATTTGGTGGTATAAGAGGAGTTGTGGATAAAAGATGGTACCCTCAATATTGTAGAAAGAATGTCAGTGGAAGGGCGCACACCCCGTCACTATATACCCCCTACCAACACTTTTCAAGTGGGGGTATAAAAAATGTATTCTCTGTCATCCAATCTCTTGGCGTCTGTTGTCACAGTCCTGTCCCCAGTCTAGAGCTTTTACTGAAGGAGACAGTATTGTAACACAAAGTATAGAACGATACCACCCCCTTCATTTCAAAAAGAGAGTAGATAAAAGCTGACGACTCTGAAGTTTTTCAAGCGGTGGTATAAAAAATGTATTCTCTGTCGTCGAATCTCTTGGTGTCTGTTGTCACAGTCCTGTCCCCAGTCTAGAGCTTCTACTGAACGAGACAATATTGTAACACAAAGTATAGAACGATACCATACCCTTCATTTCAAACAGAGAGTAGATAAAAGCTGAAATTCTGAAGTTCCATAATCTAGGGTACAAACTCCCCACCAAGGAATACGTTTGTCCCGAGCTTATTTCTGTTAATGATTGAGCTTAGAACTTGAGTTCGAGCTCAGTCCCCTACCAGTTCATTCAGAGAATTCCAAGTAACTCAGGTTACACCCAAAACTCTGAAGATAGTGTATATTCAGTTTGGGAGAAATCAAATGGACAAATTTCACAGGCTTACCTCGTTATATTGCCCTCCCGGACTTCAATACGCACTTGCATGCGTCGATACCAGATGCAAAAGAACCAAACCCTGTATTCTGGGATATTTTATGCTGAGAAAAATGCAGTTTATCGAATCAGGTTTTACTATTTTTTCCCGGTATGACTATTTTTGTTTCAGGAAGTTATTTTTGATAGTAACAAAACGTTGGTGATCAAAGCATGCATGCATGGTTTCAACTGGTGGAATTTAACACTCGCTAAATACACAGATATTTACTAATGTCATAATGTGGATTAGTGTATATAAATACTAACTGAATAGAAAATGGACAAGCTACAGTACTGTAAAAGCAGAGCACTACTTGTATTAATGAATCCTTATTATATTTGAGTGTACAAAAGGAGAATACTACCAGTATTTTATCTTTCTAAGTACTGTTTGAGTGCAATGGAACATTGAATTCCTGAATTTCGTTTAGATACAAAACAGCACAAACATTCGATGAAGTGGCACTTTTCACGACACATTTAAAAAAGATATTTTCAATATAAGGATGGGATTATGATAGTGATTTAAAAATGTCTCAATCTTTGTGCTCCAGTGGGGAGATTACACTAGTCGAAGTTCATAGTTTTACAAAATCCTTTTTTATTTAAAATTATAAATGTAGTTTAAACCCCATTGTCTTCTTAATCAACCTAAACCAAGGTTTGAAATGAAAACAGCAAGATGGAGTGAAGTGTTTAAATTCTTAAATCCATGTGACATTTGAAATTATATGTATAATGATAAAATAAGCTGATGTTACAGGGGGGTTAACAATTTGGTTTAAATTCAACATTTTGCGAATTCTTTGGTCAGTCCAATGACCTTGTTTGCAAAAACAATCTATCATTTGGTCGGATGTTGATAAACATTTTTCATACAAAATTATTTTCATACAGATTTATCTACGGATTACACCCACATCACCCGATTGAGACAAAGAGTGGGTGTGAACGGTCGACGTGAAATGCTTACATTTGTACCCCTCGACCTCTGGTGTTTCCGGGCACCTTTTTTTTTTTCTTTTTTTGAGTTTGATGATTCTTCTTATCTTCACATATCCAGTTTAAGATAATTAAAAAGGGTTAAATCACAAATTCAAATTATTAATATAGGTATTCATGATTGTATTTCTTAATAATCACCGTAGTATATATGCTTACTTTTTTAAATTAAAAAATGCATCCTCTGTCAATTTTCATAGCTTTTTTTAACCAACTTTAAAACATTATATATATTTAAAACATCACAACTTTCTCTTCTTTTTTTTCTTTGGAAATGGCGTCCCTCGGGAGATTTTTTTTTTAACCAGTTTCTGTCCTCAGAATTCTTTATGTAATTTTACAACGTTTTAAACGAATATTTTCTGGAAAAGGGCAAACAGTCTTCTTTAGGAAACTTGTATAGATCAGCACAAAGACCCCCCCCCCCCCCCCGAAAAATACATTCTGTTATCTTCATTGATAATTTAAGGAGAGTATACATACTTGTGTTGCTTTTTTTTTTTTACCGTATTTTGAATCTACTTAAGAAATTCATTAAAATACTGGCAAAATTGGAATTTTAAAATTTCGTCCTCTTCTGTATTACCTTATGTACATAAAAATCTGACACTTATTTCCTGATCTTCTATGTTTGTTTAATTTCTTTGTTTTGATATTATTATATATATGTCATGCATGATTGAATATCCTATGACGGGAAACATTGTGAAAAAGAATGTAAACATCTATGCTGGCCTCAGTAACCAGTTGTTTTCACAAGAAGGAAACGCTCTATACATTATCTACAGAAATAAAATATCTATTGGTGCTATATTTCTTTCTGAAATGAAATATTTCCTTCCTCCATATGCGGAAAAGAAGGCATCTTTTAAACAGGGAAAGTTAATATATGGATATTGATATGTCTGTTACGCATTGGATGAATGGACTGCGGAGGCAGTTGAACTTTCATCACTGTTCATGTGAAAACTGAAGAAAATTAAGAGATATTTGTTATTATCATGATTATGTATAAATCGCAAAAATGAACTACATAAGCACTTCAACATGTTCAAAGTCGACTGTGATAGTATACACCATATATGGTATATATTTATATTATTATCATGATTATATACTGTTTTCTTTGTCTCTATTCAGATACTGTACATAGCTACATACTACACTCACTGGGTGTACATGGTCTTTAATCTCATAGTAACAGGGTCACGCCTCCCTAATTTTGCCAGTATATGAACTGATTTGCAGTTGGTTTTGTCAGTATATAATATACATTTAAAAAAAAAAACTTCGAAAACGCCTGATGCCTTTTTCTTTTAAGGACCTTCTCTACACCAGTGCAAAATATTTTTTGGACATTGAGAAAAATATGTTGTATTAAGGTGATAATATTGAGCGTTTCTATTTAATTTTCACTATATGGTACCTGGCATTTACCCCCAGGAAAAAGGTTCAAACACAACACAGTATCAGTGAATAGAAATCACTGTTGTTTACCTCCATAGAGAAAATACATGTAAATAACATGTTCAATTAATTTATCTTGGCCTTTTAAAATGTTAAGAATACTTGAATTGATTACAAATTGAGTAATAATCTGTAAATTTCTATTTTTTAGAATTTAAATCTAAAGGCAGATCACTCTAACTTCAGAAAAATACCATAGAATCAGAACTCTTTAGTGTGCAGTGTAGAGAGGGTTCTTAAAATAATTCTTTATTTTTTGAAAGATATCGGGATCGGGATTTAAAATATTTATTTCAACCAATCGTCTCCTTTGCGCCAGAATACAAACATTGATTATTTAAACGACCAAAATCCGATGTAGGCATATACAGAAATGGATAAACTAAATTCGGCCAAAGTAAAGAAAGGTATTTATAGTGCGTCATCATTAAATACACCATTGATAATGGCGATGAAATGGAGGCTTGTGTAGCTGTAGCTGAACAATATCAATGAAATGAGCAAGAGTTTGTATCACAAAAATGAAAATACACATTGAATTTGTAACAACGTCTATTTTTAATTGTATAGCAATGGTGTTCAGTATTGGCTATTGTTTCATAAGGCATAAGTCGTGACAAATCACTGAGTTAGTAAGAGTAATAATTATAATGTAATCAATTATCACGGTAATATTGAAACTGTAAACAAATGTCAAATGGGCTGTTAGCCTTGCATATGATGTTAAAGAAGAAAAGATATACAAAACATGACCAAGAAATACATAACTATATACAGTGCTACTTTGGTATATTGCCAACTTTTGTCCAAGACAGATTTTGGCATTACAGTGAGGGTGGCATTATAACGAGTTCTGTCACAAATTATAATGCAATGAGCCCAGCTCAAGATGAATTCATAGTTTATTTCAGTTACAATAAAATGTCATGCTTGTGCACATGTGTACATACATGTACATTTAAACGCATCCTTCATTTCTTCTGGAAAAAAGTCAATAATTTATTTGTTTACGAGAATTTCGACTAAAATGAAATGAAAATGTCAGAATATTTAACACTTATCAATTTTCTGCTCTTTTGTCATGGTCCAAGAATTTAACAACCCAATGATAACGGTGTCAATAGCTGTAATAGTCTCTCAGTATAGAAAAAGTTTTCGGAAGTAGATTATTTCACCATCTCAAGAATGTCTGAATCAGTTAAAAAGTTCGGTAGGTTAAGCATCATGACTGACAAATGGAAAGTCACATGGATACATGTCTAGATCTTCATGAACCCCTTGTAATATACATGTATTCTCATGTTTCAGTTTGGTAGTACCCAATTAATTTCTCATCCTATTCTGTTTTGATATTTATCAATCAATCCAGTATGTGTCCAAAAATTTATGACTCGGTGTTTCATGGGTGATGGATCGATATATATATTAAATATATAATAAATATTGGATTCCTATGCTATTTTCACGTGGTGAATTATAGTAGTCTAAAAATAGAGATGGGGTTTCCTTTTGATCGATACAATGGCTTCTTGATGTAAGGGGACAAAAAATGAATTTTTTTCATTGATTATGGTTAAATTGGTTAATTATCTGTGATAAGCAACAATTGGCAATTTGTTGTACTTTTATTATTTTTTCTTTCTTTTGTAATCTAAATTTGTATGCTTTCTCTTCCCTGACATTTCCATTATTGTGATGAAATAATACCGCTATCAAAAAAAAAACCAACACCAAAGATTACTAATTTTGAGTTTTATACAATTTTTATCTTTAATTTAGCTGAATTCCTTGTTCAGACAGTCACGCTTCACCGCAACCATTGTCAAAGCACAGGTGTGACGTCCAAATTACTGACACGCGCTAGATAATTGGCATTGTTATCGAGGGTTTTCCTTATATAATTTGACCTTTTGTTTCCTAAAACCAGTGGCGGATGGCAATAAGCGGGGGTGGCATTATAACAGGTGTATTAAAACAGGGGAAATCCATTCTTAGAAATTCCTGGCAATAAGCAGGGTGGCAATATAACAGAGGGCAGTTTACCGACGTAGCACTGTATTTTATTGAAAAATGCCTTTTTCAAAAAAAATATTGCAACATTATTTGTTGTTCATTTTAATGAAAACAACATCTTCGAATGCAGAATCTTTTGCAGTTTCTTCACATAATTTGAAAATAAATTTTTATCAATAGGTGTTGTGATATAACTTGTCAAATACAAAATAGACTGTTTCATGATAACTGCGGTACTGCTCTTTTGCAGGGCAAAATCATATATTTTGGTGAAATATGATGTAAAGTAATTAATATATGTCATTTAATTATCTGTCAGCAAAAACTTAGCCAAAAGTTATTAATTTGCCCTGCAAAAGAGTAGTACCGCAGTTATTGTGAAAGGGATAATAGAAATTTCATGGCACAAATTTGCTTCATGTAAGAAATCATGGCATTTGGCGTTACAAATTTTCATTGATGATCTTTTATCAGTTTACTCATAACATCCTAGGAAAATAAAATTTAAACAAATCTGCATAATCCAGTGGGGAAAAAAATCATGAAAATTGACCTCTGAGTAATTACACTGTAGGCATTTATAAAAACTGGTTTTTCTATGAAATATAGTGCAAAAATGAAATTATGACTACTTATGACCATATATTGTACATATAGTTATTGCATGAAGATGGGTCTAGATCTATAATTAATAGCAATTGAATATATATATATATATATATATATTTATACATTTTCAACAGTGAAATACTGTGATTTATTTATTGAATAAAAGTGATATTCTCTCACAGTGTGAAAGGATATCAAATTAAGAAAAAAAATAATTTCTGGCCTCTCATAAGATAGATATAATAACTAAGCATCTTGATAGAGGTAAAACTGCAAATTTCTTCCCAAATATGTTGCTTAAATCCATGCTATGTAATGTTTTCAATCACACAACTGCTAAGCTATGACGTCTCAACCACTCAACTATGACGTCAAGCCTATGACACTGTGTTAAGAAAAGACTGAGGCAAAGGGAAAATCAAAGAAAATGTAATAAACAGAAAATTCAATGTTTTGTAGATGAATATGGAATTTATTTCACTCGTGAGACAGGATTTTTTGATATTTTTACTCGTGCTTCGCACTCGTGAAAATATATATATATATATATATATATATATATATATATATATATATATATATATATATATATATATATAATTCTGGGAGAACTTCTCTAAGAGAACAATTTTAGAATATTTAGTGTTAGTAATTGTAAATTTTCAAGGAGAACATTTTTTTCCCCCTGCAGTTGCGAATTACTTAGTCACATTGAAAAATGACCCAAATTACCGAATGGGGCCTTATTCAATATTCATTACCATTCTTGACAAAGTAGGCAGTGTTTTCTAGAATTTTAAAGAAGTTTGTTCGTTATGATATTGGTTTTTATGGAATATTTCAATAATTTTTATGTATTGCCAGTTAATTAAATTTATTAGATTTGTCAATAACTATGTTTATTTTTAAAGCAACAGAATTTCTTGAAAAATGGAAGAAATTTCAGGAAGAGAAAGATCAAAAGAGACAGACTCTTTCAACAAAGTCGACACCACAGGATGACAATGAGTAAGTGTCTATATCAGCTTGAAAATTAACAACACCTCCAGCCCCCACCCCTCCCCATTTTTTCCTAGTCAAGGGCTGCATTGAAGACTTCAGACTGAAGTTTGTCTTTCATGATCATCCATCTCATTCTGTTCTGCATTAAAAAAAACCCATACTGTTCAACTGAAGTCTGTGTATGCTTCCATGAGAATTGTTTGGAAGTTTTGGTGACTAAGGATCACAAGAAAATGTAGAATTGAGCAAGAAATAGCATAGCTAAAATGAAAGGTTCTTTATATGTATAAAATTTAAATTCAGATATGTTCATGACTTAATTTTTTAATCTTAATCTTAATTTGGTCATATTGGTATTTTTGTGAGTAGTTTGTATCTCATGAATCCTGTATTGGGAGTACTTGTATTTCATACTGTTTTGCAGAAAGAAGAAAGCAGGAAAGAAGGTTGTGGCATCACGATATCTTAGTCACAGATCAGAGTCCAACATACCAAAGGAGCCTGCAGCTCCAGCCAAAGTGTCAAAGGTCCAGAAACGAATATCTATCTTACCTCAGAAACAAACTATTGGAACACCTATGAGGTATCTCATACAAACCCTAAAAAATTGAACTACAGTGTTAGTTTAGGAAGATTTTTTTCTGCAATTGAAATATACTCTGTAAGTCAAGAGTTGTTTTGTTTTTTCTCTTAGAATGATTATTTAATCCCTCCACTGACTCGAATAAGTGTTTGTATTTACTTCAACAGAACCTTTTGAAGTAATGACACTCCTTCAAGGGATTAATTCAGTATTTCTCTGTTTTAGCATTAAATTAGAGCGATGGAAAAAGAAGAAAGAAAATGAGAAGGAGAACCAGGCTACCCTGAGTAGTGTGAGGTATGTATAGAGAAGTGTGAGATGTGTATAGAGTAGTGTGGGTTATGTATAGAGAAGTGTGAGATGTGTATAGAGTAGTGTGGGTTATGTATAGAGAAGTGTGAGATGTGTATAGAGTAGCGTGAGGTATGTATAGAGAAGTGTGAGATGTGTATAGAGTAGTGTGGGTTATGTATAGAGAAGTGTGAGATGTTTATAGAGTAGTGTGAGGTATGTATAGAGAAGTGTGAGACGTGTATAGAGTAGTGTGGGTTATGTAAAGAGAAGTGTGAGATGTGTATAGAGTAGTGTGAGGTATGTATAGAGAAGTGTGAGATGTGTATAGAGTAGTGTGGGTTATGTAAAGAGAAGTGTGAGATGTGTATAGAGTAGTGTGGGTTATGTAAAGAGAAGTGTGAGATGTGTATAGAGTAGTGTGAGGTATGTATAGAGAAGTGTGAGATGTGTATAGAGTAGTGTGAGGTATGTATAGAGAAGTGTGAGATGTGTATAGAGTAGTGTGGGTTATGTATAGAGAAGTGTGAGATGTGTATAGAGTAGTGTGGGTTATGTATAGAGAAATGTGAGGATATGGGTTAACGTATAGAGAAGTGCTTTTAGAGTATTGTGTGGTATATGTAGAGAAATATGAGGTAATGTACGGAGAAGTACTTTTAGAGTATTGTGAGGTATGAATAGAGAAATATGAGGTTATGAATAGAGAAGTGCTTTAAGAGTATTATGTGGTATGTTAGAGAGTGAGATACATAAGAAGTAGTTTGATTTATGTAAAGAAAATGCTTTTTATGCTATTTAAATTTCTGTATAAATAGTCAAATGTCATTATCGTGAATTTGATGGGAACATGGAAAAACTTCAAGATCCCCAGATGGGTTTAGGATATTGAGGTTAAAAAATACATAGACAGAAAGTGGTCATTACTTCAAATGACTTCGACATATCCATGGTATTAGGGATATTGATGTTTGAGGTACTGAAGTTCAACTGTACTAATTCTCTCAAGATGGTCATACTGAAAAGTATTCTCTGTCTTAAATTTAATTGTGATCCAACCTACATAACCTACACATTTTTATAAAAGTTACCACTGTACACCATTTTACCAATTATAAAGGAAAGATTATATACTGGTAAATATATAAAACTCATTTATAACAACATTGCATCCTAATGTATCTATACATGAAGAGTAAAGATGATTGTTATGGTAGGTTACAAAAGAAGTCATTTCAAGGTCAAAGCTTAGGTCAAGTCTCTGGTATTATTAAAGTTATACCATCCTAATTTACAGTGGTTGAAATTGAAAGGTGATAATCAGAATAAGAGGATATCAGTTTTGTGTTTAATTTATCAATAATGAAGTCAAAAAGTCAAGGTAAACTCAGGTAATGGTAATTAAATCCTTTAATCCTGGTTTATCTTTGTATGAATTAAGCAGTAATCTAAATCTAATTCATTTTTAATGTCAAGGTCAAAAGCCAAGGTCAACTCCAATGGTAATATTTTTAAAACATCTCATTTTGGTCTACCGGTACTTTTGCATTAAGTTTGAAGATTATACTTGGAAGTTGGAACATTTCCTCACTCATCAGAGCTGAATGCAATAGCTACACAAGATAGGACTTATATCAAAAGTCTGTGTAAGTTTTATTTCATACTCTGGCCAAATAATTTCTTCAGGTTTTAATAAACAGATAAAAAGTGATACGGAGTGCATAGTAAAATTAAATATCATCACTCATATTGTGATAATTCTAAATATGTAGGCAAGAATGGCTTTCACATTTACAAAATGAAATTTTCTGTAATTTTACAATGACAATTTTCTAACCAGAGCCTACAAATAAAATGAAATACAAGCAATGGGAAAAAATGTGGGAAAGCTCGTTTATGCTTTTAAAAAAGTATAAAGGAAATACAGTAATATCTCGTTATCTAGCACTGGATGAGAAATAAATTCGATATATCCAAGGATTCAAGATATCAGGGGTAAAATACTTAAAGAATAAGTGTTTAGGACTTCCAAATCACTTTGACATATCCATGGTATTTAAGATATCAGTGTTTGAAATACCAAAGGTCAACTGTATAATGATACAACAATTTTAGAGTTATCTTTCTTTGCAAACAGTCATTGCTCCGAAATGTAACAATTTTGAATTCTGGTTATACTTTTAGAAAAAAGACACAGACCCCATTCAAAGCTGCTCAGAAATATACTCATGTGAAATCCAAGTTCATGACTGCAAGTACTCAGAAGACTGTTCAGAGAGGGGTCGACAAAAAGACAGGGAAAGAAACTGTGAAAAAAGTTTTGACATCAACCCTGAAATCTGTCTCCATAAAGACAGTACCCTCACATGTCACAAAGGCCTCATCTCAAGTTAGGAGAAATGCATCAACAAAAACTTCTGATGTTAAGAAAAATATTGCAGTGTCCTCATCAATAAAATACAAATCAAGCCATTTTCAGTTCAAGGTTGGTGAATCTGAAACAAGAAAGTTGAAAAGAAGACATTCGGACTTGGAATCACGAACTACAAAAGCCACACGGAGCATTCTGAAAAGGAAATCTTGTCTTCCTAGCTTGTCTGATGAAGCATTATTACCAGATTCACAGACTCCCAAAACACCAGGTCACAATGTTAGGTTTGTCTCCCCTGTCAAACAAAAACCAGATACCCAGCCCTGTAAGAAAACTCCAGTCCCACGTCAGCATAGATCTATGAGGTAAAGTTCTAGGTCTGTACACATTAGAATGGGACATTTGTGTTTGCTTGTTTCAGATGTAGTTGAGCTATCCATATGCATATAATTATTGTATCATTTTGTGAGTCAGTGCTCACAGTACCTCTAGTTTTATTTTGATGAACTGTATAGAGTGTTGTTGCATCTTTTTTCTGATTCATAGAAGGAAATGGTGTCATTTTTGCATCATAAAATGTGAAGCTAAGAAAAAAATTCTTACAAATCCAACCCAAATTTTCTCTCTGACCATCAGAGATCCTAGTTGAACAGATTTCTGATTTTAATGGTGTACTTGACTTTTCTTACAGAACAGAGCTGGAGGAATGGCTGAAGAAGAAAGGAAAGACCCCCAGTGGATTCCGACATCTGCGGTGCTTTGATGCCTCACTATCAGCCAAGAAAAAGTCTTCAGATCAGCACAGTAACCAAGAAAAGACAGAGGAGGTAGGATTTCTGTGTCATTGAGAGAAGTATCTTCCTCATTTTATATATCTGATGATGGTGGATGTATTTTTGGAACAGATGCTAGAGGGCAAATGAGAGAATGTAGATGAATAATTTTTGGGATGAAAGTACCCTTATATTTATAAGTGTGTATGTTTTTCTTTTAGGAGGAAATTAAGAAACCTAGATCATCAGTAGTGCTAAACCTTGAGGACCAGTTTAATGCTGAGGAATCCATGAACAGAGAGGACACTATTGTAGAGGACCTAGACTCCATGTTAGAGGAGTGTACCACACTGTATGAGGCTGTATGTACATACTAAAATTACTTCAACCCCCCCCCCCCCCCCATACATGAAAAGATATTATAAATGAAACAAATGGTGTCTTTTTTTCTTCTTTATAACTATCTGGTACATGTATTTATTTTCGATGTTTGACTCTCAGAATTAATTAGAATTTGACCCATGATCAGCTGTTTATCAAATTGATAAACACTTACAAACAGGGAAACCTAAATGAGTCTCATGTGATGAGTTGCACATAATTTTTATGTTTTTTATGAAATATGTGGATTTCAGTAAAATATTTTTACAACTGGGAATACCTGTATAAAATGTATATTTCCTTTCCATGCTGTTCCCATGTATTTTGTGAGGCTTATTTGCTTGTGTACCAGCCTTAGAGATGTACAATACTAAGGAAAAGCCAAAATAATATTAAAATCTTATTTGGTATTTCATCTTCCTTAACAGACATTTTAATTTTATTACATTTTGTTTTTTAAAAGAACATATAGTAATACATGTACTCAATAGATAGTCTACAAAAAAAATTGCAATAAATATCAATTGGGCCTAAAATAAAAATTTGTTTGTTTGCAGTTGCTACTAACCCACTGAAAATGCACCCAATCCAAACTTTTTTTCCGACCATTTTTTGAGATGATTTTTTTTTCCCGGGGGGGGGGGTTCAAGATATTGAATTTTCTATGTTTGTTTTTATCAATTAGTGACTAAACTAAGTGGAGATCATTTACATTTAATAACCCTAAGAATATCACTATGACTTGTTATCCAACAAAAACTATAAAACTAAAATCTATTTAAAAAACCTACCTATCTACCTATCCTCTCTAAAAATTATATGTCGGCAACTGCAAACAAAAAAAAATTATGCTTGCATGGCCTTGCTTAACTTTGAGGACTATTTTTCAGGGTTGTCCTCTTGAGGACACAATGAAATGGTTGGATTCTATTGAGGAGAACATCACCTTAGCTTCATCATCTGCCAGGTTCTACATCTGTAAAGCCAAGATCCTCAAGAGCACCAACAACCTGGAAGAGGTCCTCCATGTGTTTGAAACGGCAGTCAAAAATTGTGCCCAAGTATGAATCATCGAGGACATTATCTTATTTTCTTTTTAAAACAGTCATTGTAGTAAATAATAAAACTTGGAGTGGCTACATTGTAGCTGTAATAAGGGGTAATTTGCTGAATATTTTTAATAGCTTTGTTTATGTCATAACAGATTTAACATTTTTTATTGCAAGTAATTTTTTCCCCAGGTATTAGAGTTCATTCATTCTTTTTTCAGCCAGCCGAAGACTTGGCCAGGTCTTTGACTGAGATTATAACAGAAATCAGTCTTGAGCGCGAAAGGAAGGCTCGCTTAAAAAGTGCACTCGACAAGGCAGTGGAAAACGGAAATGTGTTTGAATCCAGCGCAATTAAATATTGTGTCAGACAACTAACTCCACATAAACACAGGTAAAGTACTTAACTTGTAATTTGTTTTCATCTGAAACTGGTGAAAATGGAATAGTTGACAAATTATTTCATTGAGCAGTGCGGAAATATACTCTGATCAATTTTAAGCTATCTGTCAAATATCAAAATTTACTCTTTAAAAAAATCTATTTTCTTGTCAATTTTTTAGTTTTAAAAATGCTAACACAATGGTATAATGTACATTCCATATTAGATTAAATGTACCTACTGTGAAATCGCTAATTTTCTTGTTTTCAAGGTGTGAAGAGACCCTTGAATTCATATCCACCACAAAATGTAAAATTCCATATACAGTGAAACTTGTCCAATTCGGATGTTGTGTATTCCGAAATCTTGCCTAAAACGATGTAAACTTTAAGAGCCTTTCAATAAAATCTATTGTTTAAGATGTTTTCTAATCCAGAATGTTGTCTAATCCGGCAAATTCCTATGGAAGCAGTGGTGTCCGAATTAGACAAGTTTTACTTTATATATGTACAAGTATAACTACTCACCAATTATTCATCCACGAAATCAAATCCCCACAAAAATATATTTTTTTCCTCAAAACCTAAAAAAATTGACCCCATGAAAATATGTGATTTTGCAGTAATCTTTGATTAAAAAAAAATTTGTTATTTTAGTGTCTGCATAGCTAATATCGACAGTCAATTTTTTGGCATTATAATTTAATTTGGGTTAGTCAAAGAGCACTGTTCACTAAAGGCCTTTTTTGGGCATGTAAAATTCTGGAGAAAAAAATTATAAATCTGTAGTTTTATAAATCAACATTATAAATACAGTTGAACTTCGGTATTTCGAACACCAAAATCATGAATATGTTGAAGTGATCTGGAAGTCCCAACAACTTATTTTTTTAAGTATTTTTCCCTCGATATCTCGAATCCACAGATACATGTATTTTGAAGTATTTTCTTGGCCTCATCAAGTTTGAGATAACTAGGTTTGACTGTATGGATTGGACTCCTTCTTATTTCGTGAAAATGACTTCCTTAGAGGCTAATATATCAATGTGCTTTGAGTAGAGCAAAACCTGCAATCAAAACATTACAAATACATATACATGATGTATTGTCAAATACACCAGTTTTCTGTAAAATTTGAGAACATTGCAATTTCACAAGGCATATTCTTCAATACTGGACAGTAAAAACTTTTTAGGTAATGAAAGCATGCAGTTTTTTCTTTCTATAAATGTCTAAAATTGGAAATATGTGTAGGGTGACAAATGATTTATAGACAGGGTCGATTGTTGCATAAATTTAAACTAGTTCTTTGAACAGTGTAACACTTTGAATTAAAAATGGGCTTAATTATTCCTAATGTATCGTTTCCAGAAAAAGACAATCAGGTGGTTTTGATGACTATTCACCTTTGCCTTGTAAAGTGGTGACTCCAGTTCGTAGGTCCACTCGCCGCAGCCTTAGTGGTTTACCAGAACAACTCCAAGACAAAGCCCCTGTTTACACCGCTCTGGAGGACATTCCATCTCCAGAGAGAAAAGGCACTTTGTTTCAATCAAATTCAGCCCTAGACAAGATTCTGGATGATAGTCTGTAGTATTATTGTATTTCATGTCCACATACGTGTTCCTTGTCTTTTGTACTGAACATTAGGGCATCAGCAATTTGTAACACACACACACACCCTCGCACACACACACACACACACACTCACCCCCACACTCACACCTCCATCTGCCATCCCTCATAATTTTTTAAATGGTGATTGTTCAGTTATAAAGATTCACAGTAATTAAGTTACTATAAGAGATACTTATTTGGGTCATTCACATCACTGCTTTGTCTGATGTAAAACATGCTGTGCTTATTAATATATTGTGCTATGGAATTTGGATGTTAAAATAGAATTACTTTTAATCAACTTACAGTAAAACAAGTTTACAGCAAAGTGCCAGGGACAAGAAATTTTGATTCATCATAAATTTTATTCATTATATCTTTAAATTCACAATAGGTTTTAAAAAAAATAAGGGGAATGAACAGCACATCGCTATAAGCATGATTTGAATATAAGCATGTTTGCTGTAATTATGTTTTACTGTACATTTTACTGTACTGTACTCTCTCAAAAATATAACATTATTTATTTTAGCTTTCATTTTGTATGAATTATTCATGTGAAAGATGTTTCACATGGCTTATTTGAAATTTTGTTCATCAAAGTTTGTGAGAAAATGTGTATTGATGAAAAGCACTCTAAGAGTGGGCAATAGAGGAATTTTTTAAATGATTTTATTCATAAAGTTTATGACTGGGTAGTATGATATATATGTGGAAGAAAATGACACTGATGTTATAATTAATTTCAAAGTTTGTAAAAATTACCACCACAATATAATTTTCATTTTAACAGTACTTAAGATATCAAGTATCAACACTTTCATTTATTGTAACAAAGATTTTTTTTTAAAATAAATATTACACTTAAAGCTGTTGTGGTCTTTTAAAAGTCCCTGTGACAATGACTGAGTCAGCCTCATGTTAAAGTTCTAACACACACTAACCAGATGAAGTATAAATATAAAATCTGAAACTTTCCGCAATAAAACAATACAGGAAAGTCATTTGTACCGTTTTATTCCATAATTTATTTTTTTAAAAAAATCAACCAATTCATCCAAAAGATTTACCTAAGATTCTAGTGATAATTAAATGATTCTTACCAATAACGAAAAACCGCGGAAAATCAAGGTTGATGTTAAAGGGTAATACTTTCCTGCCATAAGTAACACTCGTATTTGAATGTGCTAAATTTTGATTTCCAATATTAATGGGTTTTTTTTTTTCAAAGTATGAATAATAAACCAAAGGGAAAAAACATGTTCCCTGTAATTTATTAATGGAGTGCATGAAGACATTAATCCTAAAAAAAAAAAATATGTCCTCTCAAAACTATTTACCCTGATATAATAAAAAAAAATCTACGTAATAAATTCGCCAGAAAAGTGGAAGAGAGGTAGCATGTTCGTTTTAAGATATTTCGTTAAGCTGTCTTCGGATTTCATTGAAATATTTATACATGTAGAAAAAGATGTGTTCTGGCATGCGTGGATCCAGACATTTTTTAGGGAAAAAAGGGGGCACCATACCTAAAAAAAAAAAAACTCATCTCAGAGTTTATTGACAAGCAAAAAAAAAAAGTAAATAACTTGTCCAAACCCGAAAAGTTGCTTTCCCTGAGATATATTAGTAATGACTCTCCTTACCACTTTAGCAGGGCAGGAGTCCATGTTTTCTAAGAGGGGGGGGGGGGGTCCATGGACCCTTTGCTAGATCCCCGCGTGGTTCAGGGGGTAGGAAACGTTTGATTTCATGGTAAAGCTTTTAAAATATGAAAAATAAATACCTCAAATAGCTTAATTAGAATTTTTATTATGCATTTTATTTATTAATCCAAGCAGACTATGCTTTTCGTCAGATCGGGGCTTTGATCGAAGTCCGTCGTTAAATGCACCAGTAAAATGCGAATAGACCTCTCTACACTTCATTACTAACACGCCGTCCTGTCCGGTGTATATGCGGGTCATTCACAGAGGACTTGTAAATATTGAAAATATCGTTATGGCTTTTGATACTCTTTATGGTTTCCTTTCTTTCCGGAAGAAACGTAGGAGATACCCTGGCAAACGGTAATGGTTTACCTTTCCTAGTGAACACCCCCAGGGGATGTAGTTGGTTTTTTAGTTCATTTACGTTCCCGTACTCGTCTCTGGGATGAACAGCGTTTCTTCTCATATTTATTTTTGTATGTTTGTAATCTTTTTCAGTTGTTTTATCACAATTGTTGTTGGCTTGAAATCCGTTGTTGATTTTACGTTTTTGTTTTTTGACGTAACGCCACAAACAGCACGTCACTATGGTCGACAGAATAAGAAAGCTTCCAACAATCGGCAACACTATTGGCCAGGTCTCTGGAAAACTTACGTTGATTTGTATCTCCTACAAGTAATTATATACATGTATACGTTTTCAAAGGCCTCTAGAAATCAACAATTCAGATCTTGAAAATAACAACTTTGAATTCTCTCATCACAAAGTCGAATCATTTTTTTTTATCAGGGTACATTTCTGACAAAGGAGGGAATTGGCATATGGTCGTTTTTACAGGCCCATAGGAAACAATTTCAGTTTAAGGGGTAGAAGGGAGGCAATCAAACATCAGTTTAGTAGGGCTGGGACGATATATCGAGATATCGATAATATCGATTCAATGTGAGGATGATACGCATATCGATACGTATGAAGAAATATCGACATATCGCCCAAAAAAATCTGACTCATGTTTTTCTTTGTTTACTTAACATTTTGGGTTTAATATCTAAAATAAATATGCTTAATTTAAATATAAATATGAAATACACAATAATTAAGATCACTTGTGCAAAATAATTAAGTTTTACAACAGATATACAATTTCTTTGAATAATTTATTCTTATTTGCGAAGAAATGTTTTGTTCATTTCAATATAAAAAAGAAGTTATAACCAATTAAACATATCGTGATACATATCGTATCGTGGCTCAAATATCGGGATACGTATCGATATAGAAAAATTTGTATCGTCCCAGCCCTACAGTTTAGGCGGGCACTACCAAGCAAAAGTTCCTATACAAGCCAAAAAAGGGGGGTCATCAGACATAATAATTGGGGGGACACATCCATAAGGAAGCTTTGTTTTCTTAAGTGTAATATATATCGCCTCTATCGGCAAAATTATTGCCCCCCCCCCCCCCCCGGTTCCTACCGCCATCTTTTATATTTTATCTATAATCTGAACAATGATATATTTATAGATTAACACTTACCGGAGTCTTTGGTGTGTGCATATGGTGACGGTTCTGTCTTTTCCTGATTTGTACGTATACGCTCGTCCCTTTTATTCCCAGCTCGGAAAGAACCAAGGCCTTCATGTCACTTTGTCTTTCTATTCAATGGCTGGACTTGCAGATGGATGTATTCATTAATTATCAGAATTTATCCTGAATATCCATTATCATTATTATCACAGAGGCTTGGAAGATCAAAAGCCATGGATATGGTAGGCGCCGGACTTAAATCATCTTACAAAGAGATCCCAGTCGCTGGGACACGAGAGGCTATGACGTCATACTAATGTAGTTTGTATCACTCGGGAAATATCATTCTAACCTGTCCTTGGAAGACTTCTTAGTACGATTACATTCTACACAGACCTATATCTGGAGCGATTCACGTCCATGTACTAAAACAACAAAGCTTCTCTAGTCATAGTGATGTCGTGAGTGTCAGGCAGGTTCGTCTCATCTCACCCTCCCTCGATTTCTTATTACATTTGGTGCCTTTGATCACCCCTGAACATGCAGGTGAAAGTATTGCCAGTGGCAAAAAAATCCAGTTTGTTTTCGGGGACAAAACAGTTTAAGGAAGGAGGAATGTAGCGGTCAGGAAAGTCCGCCAGTTGCCATATAGCTCACTTTGTAGAGTTCAGGGGGCGGGTTCGAACCCTGGTTTTGTTCGTTGCATCTTCTCCCATCCTAGAGAGAGAGAGGAAGGGGAGCTTTATTTTTTTTCAACAAGGCTTAATTTCTGATGTGCCAAATATATGTTATTTTACGTATATTATACATATTTATTGGCAATTATTCTGATAAGTTGTAGGTGTACGTCTGTGTCGTTGTGTGTATGATTCAAATACAGCTTTACCAGATAGACCAGAGACTGTTCTGTTGTTAATGAACCGATTAATGTAAGCAAAGGGCAAGGGTGCCGATGAGCAGAAAAGTGATATTCCCCAAAAGGAATATGCAAAAATGTTTTAGATTTCCTGCAGACTCTGCCAACTCTAACACCTGTTACCGGCCCCTGTACACTGAACCATCTGCGCTCCTGTATGAATAAGAAACCTTTTGTTTATTTTGAAATGTATCTACAACATCCATGGTTAACCCAAAATAAGATAAAAGTAGTATGCAAAACACGATTAACTAATGACGACAAAGGGTTAAGAAGAAATACATGTATATTGATTTCCAATATTCTAAACTTTACATAGCAAACAAATCTATTTCAAGCAAACATCTTCTACACATTTTTCGAGAAAATTAAGAATTTAATGAGTTTCGAGGGTTTCAATAGTGGGATAATCATGAAGAGGCAGAAAAGTAAAACTTACTGTAGGATGTTCCAGTATGTGCAAGATGAAAAATACTATTATATTATTATGTGTTTTAGTATCTGTTCTTGTTCAGAACAGGAACTATAGATTTTTCTTGCAATGTACAAATTGGTATCTTTGACTTCATGAAATTACATTCATGTATTTATATGGTTGATTCTGAATAAAAAGGTCCTCCCCATTTTTATTCAAGTGTCAGAAATTTCCGACTTAAGTTAATAACAAATCTTATTGCAAATACAATAATTTAAGCTAGATCGTGATTTTACTATCTTATTATTTCATATTACACATGATTATATTGACTTTAATGTTTCTAGTCAGTTTTCACTCGGACTCTCCTCTGAATACAGTCTGTAAAGCGCTGTCTTGTTGAAGCTTGTTATAAAGAAGTCAAGTACTCATATAGAAGAGTTTGTACATCAGAGTGACCACGTGCCAGTTCTTGTTAAGTGTTTGTCTCTTCTAGTGACCACGTATTCTGAATGGTTGACAGCCGCACAGCTTTGTGATCCCATATTCATTATTATTCAGATTTGAAGAAACCAAATGACCAAGTGTCCCATCGCTTTGAAGATCCAACACATTCTTTATAAGTCTGCCGATCCAAACATTGCGAAGTTACTATTAAGGCTGAACACGACTCGTAAAAAGCCATACTACATATTAGTTTTCCTATCTCCAATTTCAGCACTGGGGTATACCATATGCAGTTGTTTCACCTGATTGATTTCTGTTTACCTGCATGGAATGGACGACACTAGCTTACATTGCCCTTGTTTACATTTTATTGCATTAAAACGTGTATTTGTGTTTTGTATCTGAACTGCACTGACCTATCATCATTATTTGGTTTCCTTTTCTCCTGTCGTGCACGCAAGTAGTTATTTTTGTTTCGACCGGGTATTTTACATGTACAGTAGCAATGTAAGATACGTCCACACAAGTAAAACATGAACGGATACAGAGGCCTTATAAATAATGATGATTGAAGAGAAATATGGCGGACAGCGATAAATTCTTTTCCTTTTACAAATCGTGTTCAGCTTTAATATTTCCCAACAACTTTATTCTTGTTCAGAGTTTGGCACTCCGAGGACCTCTTAGAGTAAAACTTTAATATAAACTATTTCCTGTTACTATTCTTCATATTTATGTTTGAATGAACATAGAAACATTTGGACAGTGAATACGATGATTATTAGACTCAGCTAATAATCACGACACATTTACCTCGAACTCCCTCTGCTTCTGTTTATAGTGACAAGAAAGACCTTGTGCTATATTTACATGTATACAATGATAATGAATTAAAACAATCTATATCAATTAATGAACAAGCTCTCCGGGTGTCAGCTTCAGATAATGGTTTGGGTATGGATTTTACTCTTTCCTTTAAAAAAATTATTTTTCAAATCAATTTTAATATGCATAAAATGTCTTATTTTTTTTTAAATTAATTAATTAATTAATTTATATTTATTTATTAATTATTATTATATTTTTTTTTTCAAAATTAATGTTGTATTTATAGTAAAAGATACTTATAATGATGATGACCATTTCAGTTTTGGGGCATATTCTTCTTTGCGTGAAAACGTCTATGCATCGATTTGAAGATTTGAGTATATATACACACAATTCAAAAAAAATCTTTCAAAAAGAAAATTATAGTCAAAAGTTCGAATACTTTTCCAAAACTGAATGTTTTTAAAATCAGACAATAAAACATTGGAATAAAATGACCTCGCAGTTAAGCCCCAATTAAGATAACCGCCCAACTTTACGCAATGACAAATTAAACACAGAATTTCCAATAAAGCAAAATTTGTCAGCCACAATCCGGACTTTCACCTTCTAAATCATTTTCGTGATTCTACGAACGTACATATCTGAAGATATATCTCCAACCAAACATGGACAAATCCCTTAGCTTGACGTTTATCTTCCTGTATTGAATAATATAAACCGATATCACTTTTAAAGGTTTATGCCAGAATTCGATACCGCAACTCGCCATGCAATTAAACATTGGAACTGCGGTGTGGTCACAACCAAATCTCCCCCTAAGAGAGGTGAAAGGTACTGGACGAATGACAACAAGTTTTTCGGTTTAACAGCATCCGAAATTCTTTTCTGTATTTTGTGGATTGCGGATTGTTGTAGCAGATTTTCATAAAACCATTTTGGCAACCAATAAATTACAGGATCGATATTGGAGGAACAGAAATTACTAGGTAAGGAAAAAGTAAAGTCTAAGAGTTTAAATTGTGTACATCAATTATTTGGCAAATGCCTTGTAACTAATATAGTCTGAAAATCTTTCTATTTTGCACACGGTATTCATTTTGTAGGATTAGATATAATTATTAGAGTTTCCAATTAAGCAAACAAAACTCCAAGACGGTATTTTTGCTTTTTTGCCAACCGTAATAGAATTATACTAAAAACAATCGTATCAATGAAAAACGATACTTTCCTTATACACTCTGTATAAAAGGAAAATATCTGCACCATTTAACGCATTAAGTGAGTTAATACCTGTGCAGTAGCAATATTTTCCTTGTTAAAGATCTTATTAATAGCTGTAACTCCTTAGAAATCGGCCACTTTTACGGGCTGTTGTTGATTCAGCTAAAACATAGAACTTTGACGGAATGAATTTCTAATTCCATTTATATTCTTCCATACCAGCTAAATGTAGTTAAGTGTGGAATTACCGTATCACAGTTTGTCAAATATCCAGTACAAAACACTGAGGAATTCATGAAATAATCTACAGATATTGCCAGGAAACTAAATCCATTGTGTGGGAATCTAGACTTTTTAATCATGAATGTGGATTATCGTTTAAAAGATCATTGCATGGATTTTCAATGGGAATTGAACGGTTTCCTTCTTCCAAAATTAAAAAAAAATCTAGAGTTGATCCACAGTATATTTGAAACCCTGATTTATGTAACATGTATACTAATTATTTAATTCCTTAACCGTCCTATTTGACAAAGCGTATTGCAGTGAAGTTCAATAACCTACATGTAGTTAAATAATTTCACTCAAATCAATTGCCAGGAAAGACATTTTGCACCTCAAACGTAAATAATATAGCACATGATATAGCGCCTCACTTCAAATCGTCTGAAGCATTCTTAAAGTAAATAGATATATTTGACAAATTGTGCAAAAACATGCTATTAAAATAATATATTAGAATAACTGAGAATATATTCTGAATTAAAGTACGTGCTCAACCCTTAAGATAAAAATACTACTTTTTTCAAAAATGTTTAACATATCGCTGCCTCTATACATTTCCACTGAAAGATCTCAAATTAACCCCACGTGGTCCAAAAAGTGGGTCTGTTAATAAGACACTTAGAAAATGTTGTACATGCTTTAAAAGACTTTCTAAAATATAGTCCATAGTTCTTTGTCCGCTAATTTTCCTACTCGGAGTTAAAGAACTAGGGACGATAAACACGGAGAGCGATTTGAAGTTAATCCCTTACTAAGTAGCCATTGAAAGATCAATTGGGACCAGTGATTTGTATGAGCATCGATCAATCCCAGCCGTTTTGTACCTGTTACTTTCTATAATTACCTCCATGCTTAGGCATTGTTGAAATTGCAATTCCATCCATTTGCTCATCAACTGTTCAAATTATCCGTTTTCTAATGACGCCAATATTTTTTCGATTACTTCTTTTCTTTTCCTCACTCGCTGCGCACCGAGTGACGTCTCTGTCAAGTGCAGCTCTTGTTCAGGGATTAACAGCAATCGTTACACTTGTTGTCTGGTCAACTTCTATGTTCATACTGAGAAAAGGAAATCAAAGATAAAGAGATGGAGTTGATGGGTTGATCGGGGCAACCGTAGCAACGGTTTTAAAGGGGGGTAACCTCCCAACAAAATCTAACAAGCAAACAAAAAAAAAAGAAGACGTAAACTGTCTCTAAAATCCTATTTCGTTGTGGGGAGGGGGAGTGGGGGTTGAACTTTCCTCTAACTTTTTGGTACATTTTTTTTAAATCAAATATACTGGAATTTTCCAGTGTTCGACATCAACAAAAAGTGTGGGAAGGGAGGGGGGGGGGGGGCAACAAGAATCTACATGAAAATTTACATATTAAATCTTTAGCAATAGACTATACTCAGAAGAAAAAGTGCCCCCCCCCCATTCCGTTCTACGAGTCTGCGATGTTTCACGCAGATAACCCAAATAACAGATCAGTTTATTTAATTTTAGAAAATTCTGCCACTTTTCATTACACAGGTGGACTTGAATTAAAGAAAATGATTTTCACATACGCGTACAGATATAAGGAAATTATGTTTTTCATACATGTTAAAAATATATAATATTCTGTCATATTTTATTGTCCTACTAATTTTGATCTTCACTGCGATTGGCTTCATATGATTGTCTTAATATTGGGACCAAGGATAATTTTTTTACCTCATAATTCACTTGTTTATTTAATTTAGATGTTTTGACCATTACTTACATGTATATACTTATACTATACTTTTTCAAATGTTAATCTAAATGCGTTTTTCATGTTTAAATGAACCAAATACCGGTTTGTTGTTTCTGTAGTTTACATGGGTTAAGAAAGGTTATAAGGGTCGGCGAAATATTCCTCTATATCACAGCACCACCACTTCAACTGTTGACGGAATAGCGCAGACTGACACGCCTTAATTTTCACTATACTTCAATCTATTCAAACCTTTAAAAAGTTGGACCAGAGTGCAATGCATATTCCTCGACTTCGTACACACAATACTTATGTAATAATGACACGTTTTTCCCTTTTCATCAATTTACTCTGAGAGTATTTAAGTCCCTAACACCTGCATATACTTCGTTTTTCTCAATATTGTTCGCCGAGAGTTTCAATTTGTCAATATCGATTCCTTAAATTTTCAAGGTCGATATATAAATATATATAAGTAAAATCCCATACAAGCAAGTTTGAATAGGTAAACTCTCCGACGTGAATAAAAAAAACCTGGAAAGCTCGGCATTAATGTAATTTAGTAGCAACCCTTGTCCTTTAAATGTTCACGATAATTTAATGCGCGAATGATTTCAATATTAAAATAATCAGTAGCGCAGTAAACGCCACAAGGGTAGCATCTTGCAAGAACTCTAAACATTTAAAGTGATTTTTTTTAAAACAACAATTCAGGTAAGAGCTTTTATTATTCCATTACTAAATAATTTTAAAAAAAAACATTGTTACATTTCGGTTTGACTATGTTTTAAAATTTCACAGTAAAAATCAAATTCCAATATAATCATTGAATTTACGAGGAAAATATCTTTTCCTGGCAATTTTAATAACTGAAACAAATGAATTAGTTTTTTCTTTCTCCAATCCCGGTCATTCTCCCACATCAAAATCAATGCCTTAATTGTTACAGACTTAAAAATTCTCAACAATGAATATTGAATGCGAAAACATTAATAATTTCTTTCCATTACATCAATATATCGACATCATGTTCAAGGTACATTTAAACATCTTCGCGTAGTTTTAAAAGATACAAAACATATTTTTACTCCGTATTAAAATCTCTAATGATCGGACATCATGTAAGATGTAAGTTTCAGATTTTAATTAGTGCTGCTTTTTGTTTAACTGCTGTAGCTTTACTATTGGTTTGTCGTAGCTGACGCCGAGAGTCAGACGTTGACGCAGGAATTGTCCCACTTATGGTAGCTTATCAAGACGTCGATCTTTCGATCCAGTGTGAATTGTAAGGTGTCGGTCTTTCGATCCGGTACGAATTAGTACTGAGTAACATAGGTCAGTTGTGTCGGCTGGAATTCTTCAGCCAAAGTGTGACAAGACACGGTGTGACATCAGGTTTTGACGAAAAAAGAAATCGTGATTTCAGCAGAGTTTTCATTAATTTGGTAGTAAATTGGGAATACATGGAACTATAAAACATTCATATTTCTTGTCATTCAAATTGATTTTAGGCATACTCCGTTTTTTTATCCTTATTTTTTATTAATTACTTGGGCTTGCTTCTAAATCGTATAATGATTCAAATATTTTTGACTCGCTTGGTATTAAAGAACTGTCAAACGTATCTGTTTCTCTGATTTTTATTTCCCGTAAATCAATAACTATTACCCGGAAGAGCGGAACATCCTTGCAGTGTCAATGTTAAGTATTAATGTGTTGTCGTCACACTAATAAAACTGATTGCATGGAATATTAAGAAGGATACGGAAAATAGTGTCACGTTTAAAGAATGATCCAGGGAAATAATGTCGCGTTGTTAAGGCACTGACTTATTCTATTTATAGGAGGCAGGGTGAGACAGGATAGAGGCGATGTTGGAACTTAATGAGGAAGATTCCTGGAATTATCGCGGATGATCCTATCATCGTTCGATTTACAATGTTCAATGAATGGTAAATGATTAACTCCAAGAAAAAATGCCGACACTTTCTCGGAACAAGAAACGAAACAATCGTCCGCCTCCGACAAGAGAGGCCGAGTACAAAATTATGATTGATGTTGTGAATGATGTTTGTCTTGAAATTCGAAAATTTGCCAAAAAATACTTGAATGCAGTAGAAGTGAATTACGAGAGCTGTGCAGCTTGCTTGGACGAGCTTCTAATAAGCTGGAAAATGACCGCTGCTCAGTTCTCTACATCCAAAGAATTCTGGGAAAAACATAAAATAAAACAAGTGGAGGAAGGTATTAGAAAGAAACAAGATTACAAAAATTTAGTGTTTATTTGTGAAAGAGCGAGGACTTTCGAACGATTGATTCCAAATATTCGAGAAAATCTTGTGGAATGTGCAAGAGACCATCTGTACAAATATTGTCGGAGTTTTATAGAAGAAACCTACGACGAAGTAGAAATTCGACCTATAACCGAATACGAGGAATGGATAGTTGCAAGCAAAAAAGATATTGACCAAAAAATTGCTTCTTTGAATAACAATATATTAAAATACGGTGAAATGAAGTCACCATTTTATGACTTTATATCCAAAGGCAACATTCACGCAGCTTTAATGGAAGAAATATGTGTTCTGAATATTGAAATCGCTCATGCCATAAAGAAATGGATCGCAGACGATGCGTCCTACCCAGATCGTTTGCTACAAGAGATCTTTTTCAATAACTCATACAAGGAAAGTCTAGTCGAAAACATCCGGAAGTTGGAAGAGGACAAACAAGTTGCATCGAAAAACTTAGATAAGAAACAGAAACTTAATTATTCAGTGATGAGAGACCATGCATACCATAAGAAAGAAAAACACAAACTTAAAAACAGCCTAGAGACTGTGAACCTAAAACTTGAGAGACTGGAAAAACAAATTGAAAACAAAAATATAGAAATCAATGATTTGAAAGAAGCTGTGGCGGACAAGACACCAATGGCTCCGAGGGATCGCCAGGAATTACGGCGGTCCTTGGAAAAAGCGGAGGCGGATCTAGATCGTCTGGAGGAGCGGAAAAGTGTGATGGAAAGACAACATGGGCGATTAGACAGGGAACTCAAAAAAGTTTCAGATAGAACTTACGAACTTAAGGTGGAAATTGTAACCAAACGACACGAACAGGAAGAGATAAAACAGGGAATTCTGGGTACTGAGATAGAAATGAAATCTATCTTAGACCGTCTGAATAGCATTGATGAAAAACAAGAAATTCTAAAAAGAGTGAGAGAACTGAAATTATCTCCCGATACACTGAGAAGGATTAACACCAAAAAACAGGAAATTACCACAAAAGGTAGTTATTTACACGAGAATAAAAAAAATGTCATAGATTTCTTAATTTCTTGATAGAGCTACATCTACATTTTATTTTACTTGTTTTATCCTTTCATGTGATATTTGTTCTAGAAGAAACACAACTATTACGTTGTAAAGAAGTTGGATATTTTTTTTAGCAATGACATAGATGTCTTTAAAGAAGCAAAAATTCTTTTAAGAATATATAATGATAAATAAATAAATAAAAAATAATAAACGAAATAAAAATACAATAATATTATTTATCCAAATTATTTAAGCTAGAAGACAGAAAGGTAAACTACTATAAACCTTTTGGTATCCTCTCTTGATTGATAGAAGTTTCTTTGTATAATATTAATTAGTTACTTCAGTTAAGATTATTTTATATCAGAGTTCATCTGCATGATACAGATTCTCCTAACTTTGCCGACAGTTTATATTTATTATTTAAACATTTAGAAGAGCTTTATTTTGAATTGTAAGTGGCTGTTTTAGAAAAAGGTTTGAAGCATTCTTGGAAGTAAATTCTTCCATCAAAAAGATTTTTTAAAAGAAAAATTCAGCGGGAACTGGTTCTTGTACCTAAATTCTGGACCAGCTAGTGGCGTATTTTTGCTTATGATTATTTTAAGGAGAATTCTGATCCGATTAAATGGATGATGAATGGTTTAACATAGTGACCTGTATTATTAAAGTATACCTTTAAATGTTTCAATAAAAACCACCAAGCTTTATATAGGGGCCCTCGACCTTCAGCAGAAACGGAGATCTAATTTTTAATATTTAATTTAGATCCGACTTGCAAACTGAATTCGACAAGTCAAAACTTCTCTGTTTATTTTACGAAGAAATGACATATTTGCTAAAGACTTTGTCCTCACGTTCACTACCCATACACATGCTATTTATTTTGTACATTCTAAACAAAAATTATTCAATATTCCCATTCAGAAAAAAAAATGGCATATCGGCAAAAGACGCATGTCCTCCGACTCGTCTAGGAATAAAACTTCGGACTACTTGCTTAAAGTGACTGCTCTTTAAAAAAAAAAAAAACATGTAGAAAGGGACAATCTTTCATACTCAAGTGCACTCAAAATGACATATCGATCCAATTTAACTTTTGTCACATGCCCTGCAAAACACTAAGGCACTAGTCCTTAAGCTGTGCTAATGACATTGTCAATACACAGCACGGTCCAATTCGGGCCATGTAAACAGCCCCAATCAAGTGTAAGCAATTTGTTTTCCTATAAAATATGGATAGAAACACTAACAAATGAAAATTTCAGCCGCGTTCAGTATCAGTCACCGGGGGGTAAAGTCCTCCGGACAACAAAGATACTTCAACTATACGAACCGCCGCATGAAATGACCAAGAGAGACACTGAAGGCATTTAATTTATATAAATATTTACAGGAAATTATTTAACTTTAATGTGTTTCACTCAGTAAAAATGCTCTGCTATTCCTTGCTACCCCTTAATTATCAGTTCTTTTACTCGCCTTGTGCTAGAATGCTTCCATATATATCTGATATGCAAAATAATGGTGAAAACAAAAATTAGTTTCCAATAACGAACATCTAAGAGAAAGCCTATGATATATTAGCACCGGAATGCTTCTTGCCTTTTATTTTGCTATCTATTATCTTTGTAGAGAAGTCGCCATCACCTGTGGTGCATGCACAGTTAGGTACTAGGTCATTCTCTGCTTTTATGTAAATGGAATTAACTAGCACTTATCATTGAGCTTTCGTTTATATATAATGCTAGTTTTTAACAATTTCGCTACTCAATTGTCTTTTGATGGTCTTTAATTTGTGTGCTGTTGAATTTCTACCATGAATTATTATCGATTACGGCAAACTAACAAATATTCGCTTAAAGTTAAAATCAAAGAAAATTCAAGCATTGAAGTTTTGATTTTCTAATCGGTTTCAAAGAAATAACGAAGTTATTAGAGATATTTCACAGTTGCTAGTTTAATCAGACTCGGCATACATGTATGTCAAGAGAATAAAAGCTTAAACTAACAATGGTGTCGTCATCCATTAATCATGTAATGACAGTGCAAAATCAGACTTCTGGTCTTTTATCCATTGATTCACGTTAAGATTTTGTAAAGTTATGCATTATGAATGAATACAAATCTACCTCTGTCCTTTTATAACCCTTTTTTCAACAGCAGTCTTTTAAAAGTACAAAAATGAATAGCAACTTAAGATGATATCTCAGTCATATCTATCATCATAAGATTCCACCGGGGGGTCAACAGAGTAGAGGGGGGCTATCACCCATAGCTTTACATCCAGCAGTCAAATACGTGCTGATTTTCTCGATAATGACTGACATTTCAAAATTGATATTCATTGATTCCATTGACAATATGGAACTGAAAAAGATTCATCTTTTGACACTGTGATCTCGTGAACATATCTTTTTGAATACTTTTATAAAATCAATCTCTCGGCGGAATTGACTTGTTAACATAATTTTAATCGCTGTTCAAACGTTTTCTGCAATCGATTTGCTTCAATAAATTATTTCAGACTACTCTTTTTGAATCTGTGTGCTAAAATGTCGTTTATTTCTAGTTCAAATGGACGACGCCTGTCGATATGTTGCCTTTCATATTGGACGAGATTGGAAGAAGCTCTACGATCGTCTGCCATTCCAGCCCCCACGTGACCCCGACAGACGACAGAAGGATGTGGAAGTTATCGACACCATTTCAGCCCGCCAGGACAGAACTCCTGAAGAATCGGCACTTCGTTCTCTGGAAAAGTGGCGCTCTTTTAACAGACATGGCGACATTGTTCAGCTTATCAAGGGGCTTCGGAAGCTAAATAAAGTTGAGCTAGCACAAAAACTGGAAAGCAAATTCACTGTAGAAAATGTTTATGGATAAAGACTTGTGTTAAGAGATGCCAATCAAACGCCATTTTCCATGAATCAGATTTGGTTTTGTTTCAGAACACACGTGCCTTTTGTTACATTGCCAACCGTCGTCTGACGTCATCTCTAGTCCCGATTTTTATTACGCATGCTCTCCAATTCCTCTATGCTTTCTCTAAGTCGTCCCATCATTTCTTCTGTCTCCAGTATCTATAATTTATTATCAAATATTTATTATAATCAACTACAAATTAGGTTTAAAGCATAACCTAGAAATTGTTGAAGCTGAAATTTGCATTTTGAAGATAAAATTTGTATGTGATATGAAGTTCTATGTTTTGAAGTTTTTCAATCTGTGATATACATGTAGATACATGAATTTTAATTTTTACTTCAGGATGAGATTATGAAAAACAAAACTGTGGATATTAACAGATATTCTTACAACAAACTAACGTAGATATAATTTTATCTGTTGGGTATTTATACTGTGTTTTACCTCTGTCTGAAGTTTCTGTTTTTTTTGTGACGTCATCTTGGACGCTTTTTCTGACGATTTTATCAGTTGATCCATCTTTTTCCCGAGCTTCCCAAGTTTTTGATTTATTTTCTCGATCTCCATGTCGACATCAATCACACCCTGTTATGAAATTTAATAAAATGGTTACAAAAAAATCAGTACCATTTTTATTACAAACATATACGGCGCCGCTGAAGGACCAGATAAAATTTAAAAAAAAAAAACAACTTTACTTTGTCGTACGTACGAGGTACTAAATCATACGTACGAGATACTGAGTCGCACGTACAACAAACTAAGTCGTACGACTTAGTATATCGTACGTACGTCATCGTATCTCGTACGAACGACACGGCAAAAACATTTTTCATTTGGCACTAGCACGCTTCCGTAAACTTAAGGTCCATTATAAGCAACGTGCATGTACAAATAGCTTACTATGTACATTACCAACTGATAATTTTTCAAGATATTCTTGATTTAAAATCAGACAGCCACGTGGTATTCTTAAACAAAAAATCAGCATACATTACCAGGGGTTTTGAACAGATATCAAATGATAAAAATTTTGTTGGTTTTTAAAGAAAAATGGAGTTTTAGCTGGTATTTCCTCAAAATTTGATTTAGAATAGGTGTACAGCAACATCTAACATTCTGAAAGTTGTAAAAGATCTTTCAATTACTGGAACTCTTAAATTACACAAGGAATAAGTTAATTAAGTTCAAAACTACGTCCTTAATCTCACTTATATGATGCATTACCCCCCCCCCCCCAAAAAAAAAAAAAGCTGAATAAAAAAGAAAACAAGGGACCCGAGTAACTGAGCATATAATGAGTTCTTGATATCAACAGTACTACTGAAGCTAACAAATATTTCGGTATGCTCCTGGATCTATTTGTCTTTCAATTAAGGAAATGAAAATAGAAATTTATATAATGAAGTCTCTATATGAGTGAAAAATTCGAACGGGATTTAAAAACACACACCCTCACCAAGCATTTTGCAAAAAAACTGAATTATGGACACCAAATAATGCAGTAACAAAGCTTTAATAGTTCAAACTATTTAGCAAAACTCGATCTGTTTAAAGGAGACGCCTAGTATGTTCCGGGTGTCCGATATTCAGGTGTACTCAAACCTTTGCATTTACTTAACCAATATTTTGGCAATCAGTCTCTTTTGGGGGACCGATCTTTTGATTTATTAATAAAGACATTCAACAGATTCCGTGATAGAAAAATCATGAAGTTTATTCAACCTGGTCGACTTTCCAAACAGATCGATTGTATCAATTGATTTAAAAAGACAAACTTTTTTTGGTTCCTTGCTGTTATCGCACTAACTGAAATGGTTTTCGGTAGATAAGATGTTGAATTGACAAAAAATATTAAAAGCTATTTGAATAGAAAGAGACTCGCTAATATTAGGTCCTACAGGACACTCACCATGAAAACGACGCAATCAAAAGAATTCTATCTGCTTAATATGGACGACTTTTGAACTAAATTTTGTTGTAGAAATTTTGAATGTGATATGCTATCATTACCCGTTGAGAAATAATTGATATGAATAAGATTGTATACTAAAAGTGAGCCAAAGTATTCAAAACACAATCCTCAGAGTTTATTTAAATTCTTAGTCATCTTTCTCTTTCTGGACTAAAATTGCACTTGAAGCTGCCAGTGGTGAACAAATGAGACACAAGGCGGCTATGGTCGACTCTCTGCGTTGCCATCTTTACATGTATCAAGTCATGTTTGGTCAACTAGATGTGCTCAAGTGCCTGGTGATATATCAATACTCATAATGTCACCAGAAACACCCAACAACTCATGTTTGGAGCGGGGAGTTTGTCTTTAGTCTGAAGATCTTCTATTTCAAAGATTTTTTTTTCAAAAGAGAAAGGAGTTATTCAAGTAGTATTCTCTGTGACATAATTCAAAGACCCCCCTGTCTCTGCAAGTTGTCCTTGATAGTTTAAAATAAGTTTTTCTTGCATTAAATTGATTAGAAGACATTAAAATATATCAAACAATTGTTTGACAGTCTCCACAATGGCCCTTCTAAAAAATAGGCCGCAGATATATTTTATAAGCAGCGAATAAGTAGAATAACGAAGAACTTAATGCTTGAATCATTTAGGAAAGAGGGAGAGCATGTATTAATTTGGAAAATACATAAGTCGAAAATTATTGCAGAGCATCAGTTCTTCCTTGAATAGTTCACAAGAAAGAGATAAAACGTAAAAAGTACCCATTATCACGACATGGGAGTCTGCAAATTCTGTCTTTAATCAAAAAGATTTCTTCTTCTGAGGTTCCATAAAACACAAGAACTGACTTCAAAAGACTTGGGTGAGTCAGTCTGGTCACTTAAAGACACAAGCCAAATGCCTGTGAAATAGGATATCATTCCTAAGAGCTCAGTACAACAGTCATTCCACATGTGTGCTTTGGTTGCTGCAATATTACTAATGCGGGTTATCGGCACGGTAAGAAAACTAAATATAACTAGAGATTAGGCCATTTGTTCAGTGGTTCCTGCATTGATTGCCCTTGTCAACTCGAGCTCGATGACAGAGCGACACTGGAATGTTGTTGGCCCTCGATCAACGACACCGCCCTTGAACGCCGACTACTTTCATCTGATGTTAACATGGTCTATGATAAAAAGCGGAGTTTAAAAGGGCTAAAGAACAAGCGAACTGACAAAAATAGATCAGATTTGTTTGAAGGAATTAGAAAATAAATCCTAGAAGATTCATTTTTTGTTAAAGTGAATTAAGAAAGTGACAATGAAGCCGTGTACCGTTTCTATACATAGTTTCTACATGAATAAAAGCTATTATATAACACGATCAGGTATTGTCTGATAATGTTAAAAAATGCATCTAAAAATCACATTTTTAAATGCATTTTTTAACAAAAGACACAGACACCTTTGTACAATGCTAAGTTTTAATACAGAAATATTTTTTAACTTTTGCAACAAATCCCTCAAATCCAATACGAAATTGTGTGCTGTACATAACGATTTTAATCCTGTGGAAATTTAAAACATGCCACTTCACAAGTGTGAAACAGAATGAAGATTTCCAATAAGATAAGACCTCGTGAAAATCTTTCTCCAGTTTTTATATCACATAATAACTTGCTATCATGGAGTTTTGTGTTTTTATATCACATAATAACTTGCTATCATGGAGTTTTGTCTATTTGCACAGACTGCCAATAAATACAAAAAAAGAGTACCAAAGAAAATTGCTCACCCCCTGGCCTAAATGACGACATCAATCAATCTTCAGCAAGAGGCGCTATTTGAAATTAGGCCCAAGATTCATTAACTGTCTACGTAGTATTTAAATAAAGACCGTCAACCCCCCTTTTCTCACTGTTGAGTAATAGTGTTGCCCCCTTAAGCTGACATTATTAGTAAATGATTGAAAGGTTAAAAAGCATGATTCCATTTAGAGAAATAATTGCCACGATCTGCCGACATATTTGTATGTTATACCTGGACTTTTGACTCCTCAGGTAACATAAGCTATAACGGTGTAGGAGATAGGAGAGTGACAAAGCATTTTATAGTATAATTCTTTTCCTAAAACGAAGAATACCTGGCACATTGTATTGAGGTATTTCAAGGATACCTTGCTCTTGATCAGTCCCTTTCTGCCAAATGTCGAAGAAGACTATAATAGCTTTGTAAGCCCTGACAGTTTTTTTTCCATACCTTATGTAGACCTTGCATATAATGAGCTGATTTTTGGTGTGTGAATCAAGTCTTCTTTGATGAGTTGCAAGTCAAGTTTACATTTTGCTTTGATGAATAACAGAATAACTGTCCTTGTGTTTAGAAAATCTAAGTTTATTTATAGGCTTATAGAGGCTTCTATACCATATATTGGTTGTTCCTGTTCAAGTTCGCATTTCCTTAAGGCCACTTGCTACAAACATTTTTTTTTAAATCATAGATACTAGGTAAAAGTTTATACAAGTAAAATGAATGGTTAATTGTGCAGATTAATTTTTATTCAACATTTCTCAGTAGTGCCCTATAAAGTATAAAGTGATAAACATTTGCATTGATTTAAAAGGGGAATAGTAAAAAGTAAGAATTTTGAACATTGTAAAAAATTTACAATTTCCTAATATTTTAGGAATTTAATATTTGCATCATTTACAACCAAAATACATTGAATACACACAAACACACACATGCACGCCCTCACACACATTTTTGAATATTTTTGAATTGTTGCAAAAAAATCCCTTTACAGTACAAGATTGTGGACAATACATAACATTTTTAATCCTGTGGAATTTCAAAAATGTGCTACTTTGCAAGAAATCTCTTTAACAGTTGAACTAGAATGAAGATTTCTAATTTTGACTTTAAGATAAGACCTGGTGTAAACCTTTCTCTGATTCTCATATCTCATAATGACTTGCTATGATTGAGGTTTGTGTATTTGCACAGACTGCACTATTGACCAAATAAACACAACTTAATATATGTATTTTTTGCTTTTATATATGTCCATTAATAAGGGGATCTAGACAGCACATACCAGTATTGTATGTGCAATACTCTCAGAATGCATTTTATGTCATCCCAGATGATGAGACAATGGTAATTTTCTGAAAATTTAACTTTTTTTTTCAAAATTTTAAAATAATAGTTCCTTATCATGCTATCAACTGTAATATTGCACTCTTGAGGGTCAGTTCAGGGTGACTTAAGCTGTTACATGTACTTGCAATAGCAACAATAGCGAAATTTCTAGTTAGTTTTCTTTTAAAGGATGCTTAAATTCAAGAATGACCTTTTAATCTTTACATACTTCATGAATTCAAATGATTGTGCTGTTACTATTTTCCATCAAGATAGGGCACTTTCAAATGATGAATAAAAACCATGGGCTAAAATGTCTACTAGAGATTTTGAAGAGACATAACTGTTTTATGTCCCTTTATAAACAAGAGAGATCAATAGCACTAGACTGATAAAAAACAAGTTTATTGTCTAGTTTGTTTGAAGTTCACAGAAATGAATTTTCTTAACATATAATGGCACTAGAGTAAAGGTAATCCATATAGACAATAAAACTCTCTATGCAACATACTTTCAAAATGACATAAACTGTAGCATTATATTCAAACTCAAATGAAAACAGATGTACTAAATTCTTTGGAGAAAATGTTGGAGAATTTAGTTTCATGAAGAATAAAAATACTATGTATCAATATCAAGAGGCCCATAAGCCACAATGCTAACCAGAGTAATTTTTCTCTCTGCACATAGATGAAACCAGTAATGGTAGCCACAAAATGCAACAAATTTAATTTATGGGATATTATCCGATGTTAGAGAAAGTTCTCCTGTAACAACCTGAGGACTTTATCTTAAAAGTAGGTCATTATTTGTTAAAAACTTGATTTTATTTCAAAATATCAACTCTCTACCTACTGGGCTACCTTTGTATTGTGAGATAAAATGCAAGGACTTGGTCAAGGAAATTTCCAGGCTAAATGCTGATTTAGAAAAGTATTCAAGGTCATAGGAAATGGCAAGGTCAAACACAGCTATATAGCAAAAAATTTTGAATAGTTTTTTCTGACCATAATAGTAACTGGGGCTTAGGACAGAAAATCAAAAAGATGTAGGAAAATCATGGCCAACCCCAAATCTGTACAATATAGGGCATAATAAAAAATAACATTTACCTTTAAAATGATACCAATCTCTGTTTTATTGTCCAGGTGATAAACAGTGCATTCTACCGGAATTTCCTCTGTGATAACCTCTACAGATTTACATCGTGTCATTATCTGTAAAGCTTCAAGCACATTGGGTGTGTGTAGATGGCTCTCTTGAGGCACTCTGACATAAACTGAAATGGAAATATTTTTTCAATTAAGCAAATGTAGGCTTACTGATTTCCACAATACTTGTTTTATGTTTGAATTTTACATCAATGATCCCAATCATTGCACAAAAAAAGGGTTCCTTCAGCAAATTGAATACAGGTAATTTGAAATACATTAATTAAGTTTACAGATTCCATTACAATTACTTAAATTAATTGCTAGTTCAAGAATAAAATGTTAAAGACTCCTTTGGGACATTGGAATTAACAAGTATACTTTAGTCAGTAATGTAACCTATATTCTCCCATTATCAACTGTGTTTCATTACACCCGTACAGTTGTTCTTTTTTGTGTTCATAATGTGTTATGAAACACCTGGGACAATTCTAATTGGCTGCTTATACCTACAATGATTCTAATTGGCTGCTTTTTCCAGGGTCTACTCTCTAAGTTCATGCCTATGATGGCATAAAATGCAGGTTACAGAGTATGTTTGTATCTATATGATTAATTTATTCTTTGAACTTTTTCCTTGTATACCAGTAAATACTAACAGAATAGGCAATTTTTTCAGCACAATGTTTAATTCACCAAAACACAAATCCATGTTTGTATAATGGGAGAAACAGGTGACAAAACCAGTGCTTATTAGAAACCGGTTTTCTCAAAGTTCCCTTTTTTTAATTCAGCAAGCCTTGTGTCTCTTGAAAATTAAAAAATTTAAAGAACTCAAGTTTGAGACAAACATGTTACTAACTCACACTGGATATGGAACCTATATTTCTGTAACCTAGCTGCTCTTAAATAAGTAGGGTGATAGACGATACAGATTAGGGTTTGTCTCAAAATTGACTTCCAAGCAATCAATATAACAGAGTATTCAGCCTGGAAGCAAAGAATTACTGAAATCTGTTGAAGTAATACATCATGAAAACATTATTTGTTTGCTTTGCTGTGACAAAAAAGAACACAAATCACTGTTTTATATGGCAGAATCTTTTTCCCCTTCAAGCTGACCATTTTATTAGAACCCCACATGACCTTTTTGTAGTTATGTGAGAACTCATACAGTTTTCAATTTAAAATTTTTAAAATCATATACAGAAGTACATGTACTTTAATTCTTTAAAAACTGTAAGTGGAAGACATCTATAGAATTTGAGGTCATACCACTTTGTCGATTGTTTTCATGGTATGAATAGGCCAATGAATTCATATCCTCCAATAAATGTTAAAATTTCATACCACAGTAAAATGGTTCTCCATTAACCAAGAAATCAAATCCCCTCAAACCAGTAATTTTTCCTCAAACCACGAAAATATGACCCCTCAAAATAAGTGAATTTACAGTAACTATTGTCACTATTGTTGTGACAGAATAACTCAGTTTTCAGCATAACATTTTAAATTTTTCTAATCAGAGGAAGACATCTACTGATTTTGGGGTCATATCACTTTGTTTCTCTGCATATATGTACGAGGGGTTATCAAAAAGTTTGTGGACTAGCGCCATGAAATTGAAAGCGCTTTAGGTACATCAATGAATTTAGGACATTTAGTTAGCATCATCTTTTCTATCTATGGAATAAACCATAAATCAAAAGTTTTATTTTTCAATACATTGTTAATATTTTTGTAAGCAATAGTATGTTCAGGCGGCGCAACCTCAAATATGACGTTTTTTTCTACCTGAGTGTAACTGAGAAAACTCTTTTGATATGAGCATTTGACATCAAAAAATCTCGTTATTTCAGGCATGTAGTATAACACAATTGTTCTGTATAATTTGCAATTTTTACCCCATTCTGTAAGTTCTATGAAATTTTATCGTAAATTTTATACGTCCAAACAATTAAGGGCTTGAAAATGACATCAAAAAAAGGGGGGGGGGGTCTTTTTCCAATGTTTTATAAAGTTTCGCACCTGGAAAAACTGGTATACAGTCTGGTACCATGTCAGAGAGATGAACGATGCACAGTTAGTGTTGATATGTAGTCAGGGTGTCAAAAGTCAGTCAAGTCTAAAAGTGACGTTGATCATATGGGGTAGAAATTGAACTCCAACAAGCTAAGTATACTGGCATAATCAAGTGAAGATCTTTCCCTATGTATAGATCCATTTTCAAAACAAGAGGCCCAGGGGCCACATCACTCACCTGAGTACTCTGGCTAGGAAAAAGCAGAACTCCGTTCAGTCTTGAATAGTTTAAATATAAAAGTGGTTGGGGGGTGATTTGAACTAACTTGAATCTATACTTCATAGGGATGCTTTTGAATTAATATGACAAATAATGGCTTTGCTGTTCTTAAGAAGAAAATATTTATTGATATATCCTTTGAATTCCTTTGTATAACTATGATCCCCTGTTATGACCCCTCTATTCTCCTGGAGGTCATGATTTGAACAAATTTTTAATATACATTACCTGAAGATGCTTCCATTTAAATATGATCAATCATGGCTTTGCTGTTCTTGAGAAGAAGATTTTTGAAGATTTTTCCTATGTATTCCTATGTAAATCTTTGATCGCCCATTGTGGCCACACCCTACCCCTCGGGGTCATGATTTAACAAACTTGAATTTAAACTACCTGAGGATGCTTCCATATAGATATGACCAATCATGGCTTTGCTGAGAAGAAGATTTTTAAAGATTTTTCCTATATAATCCTTCATAAAACTTTGATCGCCCATTGTGGCCCCACCCTAACCCAGGGGGTCATAATTTGAACAAATTTGAATCTATACTAGTTGAGGATGCTTCCATATAAATATGACTAATCATGGCTTTGCTGTTCTTGAGAAGATTTTTAAAGATTTTTCCCATATATTCCTTTGTAAAACTTTGATCGCCCATTGTGGCGCCACCCTAACCCTGGGGGTCAAGATTTGAACAAACCTGAATCTACACTACCTCAGGATGCTTCCATATAAGTTTCACATTTTCAAGCACAGTGGTTCCTGAGAAGAAGATTTTTAAACGATGGCATTAATTTTTCACAAATTCATAATTATCTCCACTTGGTAAAAGGTGTGGCCCTTCATTTGAACAAACTTGAATCCCCTTTACCCAAGGATACTTTGTGGCAAGTTTGGTTGAAATTGGCCAAGTGGTTCTTGAGAAGGAGATGAAAATGTGAAAAGTTTAAAACAACAACAGCAGACAACAGACAAATTTCGATCTGAAAAGCTTCAGCTCAGGTGAGCTAATTTTTATGCATTGAAAGCAGCTGTTCATGACATTGTAAAGTCATATAAACAAGAACGGCTCAAGTCCTTACTTAACTCCAGGTAATCTCATCAAGATACATGTAAGTGTATGAGGTAGAGAGAGCAGACATTGAGGTTGTCGGAAACAGCTCTTAGTGGGGCACTCTCTGAATGTTTTAGTTTTCAATTCTCTTACAGAAAATTAGCTGCTGATTTCCCAGCATTTGTTATCCAAATCATTTTTTATAGGCTTACGAAAATAAATAATTTTTTATTTTTTACCAGTTGACTTTAATCAAATAACCTGCAAACTTGCTTGGGCCCAATAGCTTTGCAAGTTTGTTTAACTATATAATTCATGTATTATGCTAGTCTATACCTGGAACATTTTTATCTTTAAACTTAAGAATCATGATTGTAAACTCATTTCATGATATAATTCCCATTTCAAATTGATTACAGAGTCCTGTGATTAAAACATTCTTTTAGACTAAGAGTGCTACATGTAAACATCACTGTACATGCCTTTCTACATTTGAAATTGTTTTCCTTGAATAATTCAAGTGCAAAGATGCCATAAAAAATTGTGTGAAGGGAAGGGGTGCTAACATTTAAAAACAAAACAAAACACTAAATCGCAAAAGAAATACAAATAAAAATTAATTGGGGGGGGGGGGAGGGGAGGGGGGGGGGGGGTATGGGGTATTTTAAAGAGTAAATCACAAAAGAAATACAAATAAAAAATTAATCATTGTGGGGGGGGGGGGGGGGGGGGGAGAGAGGTTAGTTTTGTTTAGCTATCCAATGGTTATTTTGAAACTGACCAGCTGGACACAAACAAACACTGACCTTTCAGCTGTTTGCTCTTGATACTATATCTGGTGGCCACAGAGAGAACATGTGTCGCTATAGCTCTAACTCTCTCTACCAGGCTTTCCAACTCTGTATCTCGGTATGGAACCTAAATGGAATACCGGGGTATTGACACAATATTGGCAATTTGGCATTTAGTGAAACCTATTCTTGATTTTCCATCCTTTATTTAACCATCTTTGATTTTGTATTTCAGTGGTCAGACAAAACCAATCTGTTTTAATTTTAATAAACACTTAATGTTGTATTCATAATAATATTAAAATCATTGCTATTGACCAATCAAAATACTTTAATGGCCTATAAATAATACCGAATATATTTTCTAACTAAATCTTACATCAGCAGGATCTGGGTACTTGGCCACACATACACTGACTGCCTTGTCTACAATGGGCAGTCTCTGGTAGAGCTCCTCAGATAAGTATGGCATGAAGGGACTCAACCCTCGTATAAACACATCAACACACACACACAGGATCTGTTTAGTGGCTTCCTTCCTATTAGAATTTTCACCATTCAAAATGGACTTGGAATATTCCTAAAAGTCAGAGAGTAGAATTTATTCTCAAATTTTCATGAAATTGGATATAACTTAAGACACATGTGCATTAGATGCATGCTGCTAGCAGCTAGCTTAAAACACATAAAATATCCAACTAAAAGAAGACATAGCATTCATGGATATAGTATGCTTTCAGTTGATAATAAAAGTAGTTTTTGCATATTTTTCAGTTTTTGTTAAGGTGAAAGAAATAAGTATGTATTAACTAGGTGACTGCTTTCTATGTACCTATTCCAGGACTTGTGGGCTGTTCAGTAAGACCAAGGGAGATTGTCCCACATTTTGACCATTTTCAACTTTGTAAAATTAAGTTAAGAATACCCACTGTCATAACCAGATAAAAGACCCTGTCCCTTTTACAACCAAATGGAGTTACTGTGTATTAGCAACATTTTGTCCACTGTGAGTTCCATATCAAGATATGGCCAATTCTGTGGTCTGGTAAAAAGCTCATTTCAAACAATGCCAATCTTATTTCAAATATTAAACCATTTGCATTCCACTTAAAGCAACACTGAAACACTATACATACCAGATACACATCACAGAAATCAGACAGCCAGAAATTCTGTAATGCCTTAGTGCAGAACTGTAAGTCATAGGACTGAAATCCTTCATGACAGATTTCCACCATGTTAGACAGACGGCTCAGTATCCATTGGTCCATAAGATCACCAGACTGTCCTATAGGTGTGTTATATTGTACGGCAGAGTCTGCGTAGCTTGTGACAAATTTAAAGCTATTCCAGATTTTGTTACAGAATCGTGTTCTGGCCTGGACATGATCAACATTCATTGGAATCTCATCATCTATAATTACAGAATCACTAACAAAGTTACTGCATTATTTGTATGTATGAACAAATGATCACAAAGCAACAAATACTTATATAAAACTACAATTAACATAACACAGGACTGATACTGCTTGTAGGGAAACAATGAAAACATGGTACAGTTCAAATACTGCATAGACAAAACATCAATAAATGCATCCTATCATCAAGTTTGCAGAGTCTATCACTTGTGATTAAAATTTTATTTCTACAGTAAGGCTATTATGACGTCATTTTTAAATCACGTCAGCTTATGCAGAGCAGATCCATATTTGACATAATTGTCTGTACATATTTCAGTGATTAACGTAATTTTCCTTTTTTTTCACTAAAAAATAGCATACGTACCTATGTTTGGCCACCGACATGTGGCATGTGACTTAATTTTGCCATTACGCATGCGTCAAAATTTAATTCAAATTAGCTTCGCTTAGCTTCACACATAGCTAATGCAAAGTAATTTAATGAGCAGTAAATTAATTCAAATTAAACCAACTCGCATTAAATTCCCCGTGTGAATGCGGTTCAAATTTAATTCGCAGTAACTTACGTTTTATTCAAATTAAACTCTCCGTGTAAACAGGGCATTAAATGTGCTAATCTATGACTGTTCTAATAAGTTGAAGAAGACTGTGCTAAATTTTGAGTGTGCTAATTTATTGCTAAATTTTGAGTGTGCTAATTTATTCATGTTTACAGTCCTGTATTTCTCCTGGGTCACCATAGTGTAAGACAGACGCAGCATCAAATACAGGCACGAGACAAAAACAATCAAAAGAACACCTTCCGGAAGTTTGGTTTGTTAATCACTCATGATAACTATCATGCCTAAATAGTCACTCTATCATTATATCTTTTTCAGATGCAGCCCTCAAATCTTGAACATTCATCCTGGTAGATTTAGCTAGAATGCACCTAATTTACACTAGTTTTGATTCCATAAACATCATTGCATACATACAAAATGTATCTACATATATATCAAATTATCACTTGATACAATGTCTGTAAAGACAAACCTTTGAAATCATAAGAACACAGCATATATCTGAGAGCATCTGTCCCACAGGCAGGGATTCCATTGGGGAAGTCTCTTCTCTGGCCCTCTTTGGCTGTCTGTACCTCCTGGGGGGACAAGTTACCATCTTCTACCTTCTTATGCAACTCCTAAAATGTTTGAGGCTGGCATTATAAAAATATAGTTTTAATGATATAGAACTGGAACATGCTCGATTTCTGAATTATTTGATTACAATTAACAAATTTCAATCAACAACTCTATGTGTCAGAGAGAGACAGAGAATTATACAATAAAATCCCAACAAATAAAAGTCACTTTCTAAGCAATCTTTTTATGTCAGTCTAAAAAAAAACTATCTGTTTTTATATATTGAGACTGAATCTGTGGTACATGAATAGAGAGCACTCTGTTGTGCACTCTAAATAAAATTACATGAACTTACCTCAAGTGTAATACCAGAAATAACATCTATTGGATCAATGACATTACCAAGGGATTTACTCATTTTCCGACCATGAGCATCTCTCAACAGTCCATGGAGTAATATCTGTAAAAAGAGAAACAAATTTTCTTTGGATACAACACAATACAACATTTCAGTGATAAACAATATAAAAAAAAAATAACCTCTTATAATTAAGTGATATATTGATATGAACAGACCGTGGGAAAAGGCAGCTGATTGGTCAATTTTAGCCCCAGCATCACCATCCTGGCAACCCAGAAAAACAGAATGTCACTTCCTGTTTCCATGAGACTTATGGGATAGTATTTCTCCAAATCCTTCGTCTGTATATTAAAAAACATTCACTTCAAACTGAGTATATCAATTTAATTATTAACAAACTTCAAAATTATTTCAGCTACAAATTGTATGTGTGTTGGAATTTATGTCCAGTACACATTATATTTAATAGTTCATAGAAATCTTCAAACATGAGTGCTACCTGTGGATGCAGTACATGGATATATACAAGTGAGGTACATGGTATACAATGTACATGTATATGTGATAGTTCTTTCTATATATAATGAGTAAATACAATCAAACCTCACTATTTCAAACTTGATGGGACAGAGAAAAAACTTAGAGATATTCAAGGATTTGAGATATTGAGTGATACATCAAGGAAAAGTGATTGGGACTTCCAAACTTCGACATATCCATGGTATTTGAATTACTGAAGTTCTAGATATCACAGTTCAACTGTAACATCATGCAATAATTTACAATACAAAGAATTCAGGGCCCATTTTACAAAAGAACTTAAGACTAAGACCAAAACTTTCACTTGTTTTTAAAACTTGCAAAATTAATTATTATGTTATTGAAAATTATTTTCAAAATTGTATATTTTAGTCTTAGTCGTAAGTTTTTTTGTAAAATAGACTTCTGGTTATGAAAAAAAATATCAGCCATATTAACATTTATTTATCTTATCAGCCATATTAACATTTTTTTTATCTTGAAGTGACAAAGCAAACCTGATTTGGCCATCCGAGTGGTGAAAATGGAAACAAGGCAGAGGAAAACCATGTATCCAAGACGTCTTCATCTAGTAAAAAAAACGAAATTATTCTGTACATGTAAACATCACAAGAAAATCACACATGATTCAAGTAATTACTTCTGTTCGAAACATACTTTTGCAACCTGTGTGCAGGGAAAAGGAATTCCATAAATTTAAATGTCTACTTGTACCTTGGTTCATCACTATATTCTCCTCCCTAGTATTCAGTGTTTGTGCTGCTTTTGTCAATGCTTCTTGAGGTGTTTTAGCTACCACCCATATACTGCTCTCACAACCCTAAAGTGTTTAAACATGACACCTGTTAAATATTCATTAATTGACTTAAGAAATAATTTTCATATTTCTTTGCAATTCCAAATTTTTCAAAAAAACAGATGAGGTTTACGGAAAGTCAAATAGCTAGGATTGATTTCTAACCTCATTTTTATTGTACGCTTGATAGGCTGGTATTCTGTGTCCCCACCATAGCTGTCTAGAAATACACCACTCTCTACAATCAAAAGTTCTCTGGTTACTGTACATATGTATATTTGTATAGTGAACCTGGTCCACAAATCTTATTTTGTACTAAAAGGATTTTTTTTTAGCCAAGGTTATTGCTTTCAAATTTAACAAGAATTTCAAAGTGTATTTTCAAATCTAACAAAACAATCTGAAGGTGAAAATATTATGGATAAATTTATTCAAATTTTAATGACTTACAAGGGGTGAAAGTGTATTGAAGGAAAACAACAGCAAACAAAAACGAATTTATTTAGAAACAGAAAAAGTGCAAACACCTGGTCACCAAATATACCAAGGGTAGTACAGTAATTTTATCTGTTACTGAGTTTCACAGTCACCTTGAAAACCACTTACTGTGAATCCTTGAGCCAATTAAACCAAACTTTTCCATGATATTCTGGAACAAAACTAAGCTTCTTAGATTTCACCACCTGTAATAAAAATATCAATGAAATTTCAGCATTTACATAAAAATCAAAATACACATGCACTTACATTGATAGCCATGTGAAAACTGTACCAGATACTTACTTTGATAACCATACGAAATCTGTACCAGATACTTACATTGATATCCATGTGAAATCTGCATTAGATACTTACATTTGATAGCCATTTGAAATCTGTACCAGATACTTACATTGATAGCCATGTGAAATCTGTACCAGATACTTACATTGATAGCCATTTGAAATCTGTACCAGATACTTACATTGATAGCCATGTGAAATCTGTACCAGATACTTACATTGATAGCCATTTGAAATCTGTACCAGATACTTACATTGATAGCCATGTGAAATCTGTATGAGATACTTACATTTGATAGCCATGTGAAATCTGTATTAGATACTTACATTGATAGCCATGTGAAATCTGTATGAGATACTTACATTGATAGCCATGTGAAATCTGTATGAGATACTTACATTGATAGCCATGTGAAATCTGTACCAAATACTTACATTGATAGCCATATGAAATCTGTACCAGATACTTACATTGATAGCCATGGCAGACATTTCCTCCATGTTGACAAACCACTGTTCCATGGCCAATGGTTCTATCACATCCTTTGAGCGGCTAAATGTACCAAGAAATTATTCATAAATGCCAAATAATTTGTAAACTTATGTTAAGTATATCAAGTCACAAAAGCATAAAGATATTAGTTATTTCAGTAACTACTGCAGAAATAAAATATTGTAATTTAATGAATAATACTGCTGTAGAAAAGCCAGAATTGTATCTTCGATGTAAACATACAGATAAAGAATTTCCTTACTATACCCAAAACTCTTCACAAGCATATGTGATTTTGAATGATATACAAATTCATGCTATTATATTCCACCAAAAAGTCTGGGATCACATTGTTTTTACTCTATTTTATTTTTAAAGTAAACCTGTAATAACAATGATTTTTCCTGTACTTACCTACATATAGGTATTGTCATGGCATGACTCTTAGTGCCACGGTATAAGTTCAGTCTCTTTAGATCTTCCACCACTAACTTTCTGGCATCAAATCTTTTCACTCCAGTGTAAATGTCACCCACATTCTCCATGATACCAGATCTACTGATGACCGACATAGAGGGCAGTCCATGTCGCTGTCCAATCTCATGGTCAGTTTTATCATGGGCGGGAGTGATTTTCACAGCACCTATCCAAAGTTATTGGTTTATTTTAATCATGATTTAATTTTTCAAAACAAAAGACCATTGCATCAGTTAAAAAACATTATTCTTATTCCATGATAACAGTTTTTACAGATGATGAAATATAAATGACAGGTGCAGACCGGTCTCATTTTGCTATCAGTGAATAAAATCAAGCTTTTTCTTGGAAGTACTTTCTTGAATAAATTTACCAGTTCCAAATTCCATATCAACAAAATCATCACAAATAATTGGAAGCAGTCGCCCATCAATGGGGTGTTGTACAGAACAGCCATGTAAATGCTGATACCGTGAATCAAGGGGGTGAACAGCAACAGCAGTGTCTCCAAGCATTGTCTCTGGTCGAGTGGTTGACACAACAATTTCTTCATCTACCAAAAAAATCTTACGCTTTTTTTTTATGGAACAAACAGTACATTTGCAGTAATTTGATATTTATATGTCTTGCAAATTTTATGCTGGATTTTCTTTAAAGCACACCAGTAGCTAAAAATCCTGGCATTTATATTTTGTAGAATTTCAAATTCAAAAGAAACCATAAAAATTTTTAATGTGTCCTTCAAATAATCTGGGAAAAGATTCAAAATAAATACTTTTTCATTTGAAATGATCAAGCAAAGTTTTCCTCTTCAAAGTGTATTCAGTAACATCTACTATGTGAAAATCTGGCCACATAGCATAAAAGTTGTTCTATGTTGCATTTTCTCAAATACATAATGGAATTTTATCATTTAAAAAAGAGATTAAGGGATTGAAAATAATATAAACTGTTGTAAAAAGAAAAAGCCTACAAATGTTTGTGAAAGTACGAGTGACCTACTTTTTCCCACCACAGGATATGCAAATGACGTCAAAGTTCCAAATTCCACTTTATCTTGATATCCAGGAATGTTCAGATGTGTTCGCTTTGTGAGGGATACATTTTCTACCTATAAAAATTGTTAAATTAAATCTTCTGTACAGGTTTTCCACCTGATATGTAAAAACTCACCTAAAATAAAATTAAACAGAAAGATTTTTTCTTTGTATTTGAAATCACACAATCAAACTGTTTTAATCAACATCTGATATCACAGAGGTTAAGTGACATTTACATGACCTTCAATATCTAATATTACAGACTGTAGTTTAACTTTTATTGAGTTATCTTGATGTCCGATTTAATACCATGCAACCGACTAGTACTGGTAACTCAGTGTCATATATAACATAGCTTGATTGACTTAACATCATTCAAAGTTTCTTATAAAAGTACTATATATCTTGAAGTTTATGAACTTCTGATCAATTACTTCACTGTACTTGACTATCTTCAATATCACAGACTGTGGTTGGCTAAACTCAATATCTGATATCACAGACTGTGGTTGGCTAAACTCAATATCTGATATCACAGACTGTGGTTGGCTAAACTCAATATCTGATATCACAGACTGTGGCTGACTGAACTCAGTATCTGATATTACAGACTTTGACTATTCTCAAAATCTTATATCACAGACTGTGGTTGGCTAAACTCAATATCACAGACAGTGGTTGACTAAACTCAATATCTGATATCACAGACTGTGGTTGGCTAAACTCAAAATCTTATATCACAGACTGTGGTTGGCTAAACTCAATATCACAGACAGTGGTTGACTAAACTCAATATCTGATATCACAGACAGTGGTTGCCTAAACTCAATATCTGATATCACAGACTGTGGTTGACTATTCTCAACATCTGATGTCAAAGACAATAGTTGACCAACCTCATTTGATATAACATTTCATCAATGGTTGATTTCACAGACTGCAGTTGACTTACATCAATATCTGATTTCACTGACAACAGTTGACTTACATCAATATCTGATATCAAAGACAGCAGTTGATTTATTTCAATATCTGATACTACAAACTGTAGTTGACTTACATCAATATCTGATATCAAAGACAGCAGTTGACTTACTTCAATATCTGATATCACAGATTGTAGTTGACATGACCAGTTAACCATTCTGTTTTTCCTGTAGATCAGTCCATCATCATGGAGGCTAACAAAGGCTTCAGTTACAGCCTTGGATAAATCCTAGGGAATATCAGTTTATGACACAATTATATTTTACAACATATTTTGATTTATTTTAAAGTTTCAATGTGAATAGTAATGATTAAATTAATTAAATGAATTTCTTTAAAAAATTACCTTGTCGAGGGTGAAACAAGCTCTGCTCCAGTCCAAAGAGGATCCTAGTTTCTTCATTTGATCATATATTGTTTCTCCTTTACTATGAATAATGCAAAATTGACACTGCTTCAAGTGTTAAAATATTAATGAATGGATAACACAGTGTAAAATATACATGTATATACTGCAAATTGTAAATAATAGTGAACTACACATTTACCATAACATTAGAGATTAAAATTAGTCCAATAATTTTCTGAATTCAAAATATAAATAATTGATTTATAATCATGTTGACTTTATTGTCCCATTAAGACAGTCCACCGTGATGTTGTGTGCCTGTTTAACTAAATGTACTTCAACAAACTGAAGCCAAAATCTTTTTACACATGAACATGATTTTTTGATGGAGATGCACACCTTTGCTTCCAGTTCCACACCTCTTGGACAAAAGCGTCTCTGCCAATGTTGTGTCTCGTCGTCCTTCTCTCCTTCCATAGTCTCTTCTCCACCACCACCTGGGTGGCAATTCCTGCGTGGTCACAGCCGGGGACCCACAGAGTTTCATAACCTCTCATTCTATGCCTGAAACATACATGCATGTTAAAATCATAAAAGATAAAACACATCTAGAAATTGTTTGCATGTGTGTAGAATTAAAATATAGTTGGAATAAAAGTAAATTTACTTTTGTATTTAATAATTTACAGAAATTTCAGAAAGAATAGGATGAGAAATTGTTCTTTCAAACACCAATACAGAAATGTTTCCCACTCCCAGTCTATATAAAATTACATGTACCATCTAACAAGAGCATCTTGGATAGTATTTGTAATTGCATGTCCAAGATGTAAGGTTCCTGTCACATTTGGGGGAGGAAGACACATTACAAATTTCTCTCGAGAAGTTCCCCTTTCACTCCCATACTCTGGTGTAAAAAATCCTTGGTCCACCCACCAATCATACCAAGCTGCCTCCACAAATTCAGGACTGTAACTTCTGGGTAAGGGACAGGAAACATCTACAAACAACACTCTTCAGTTCAGAACATATAAGAAAATTAACTTTTAATAAGATACATTCATTTATATGCGTGCTCATAGGTAAACATGAAATTATGCATGTATGCATGAAGGTAATTAAACAAAGTGCCTAAGAAGAAATATTTCTCATATCAAATATATCCTCCCTGCATATCAATGCTTTTTTTATCTATTTTATTCAGTTTTAACAATACATCATCGGTCCTGGGTTAAATACTTTCAAATGTAATGCCTTAAAGTACAAATACATTGGAATACTCCCCCTCCACATTTACCATAACACATACTCATATTTAGAGCTTATTTTTTGTGACACCATTATAATATAACATTATTCTGTTAGCACAGAAATAATATTCATGGTAATGGTCTCTGCTCATGATTTTCACATTTAATTACCAGTCTAAATGTACAAGTTTATATCATTTTCTAACTTGTCCAAATTATAGTGAAGGACATTATCAGAATTATTCACTGGACAGGTAATTCTGTTAAGACACATCATTCAAAATTCAAACATAAAACCAATTAAATTTCATACCAGTTGAATTGTGTAGGACTAAGTGAAAGACAAGTGTAACAAAGCATACCCTTTTTGGCTCCAGGTTCTGTTGGCACATCGTATTTTTCTGATTCATATGTAACTGGTCCTTTCTGAGATTTTGCCCTTTTCCTCTCTGTATCCTTCTATAATTATACAACCAAATTAAAAGGCTGTTTGGAACCGTTGAAAGGTAAATAAAGTATCAGGAATAAGAGTTAAATTCATGGTTAAAAAACGAATACCCTATTTAAAACGGGGAAAGCATAAAAAAAAATGATAATACCCGAAGCGAGAGACAAAACGCGGTGCCGTATACATCGAAGGTTTTTACAATGCTTGGATCTTTAACTCTCTGGTTTATATGTCCGAATTTTCTCAACCAGAGAGCTACAGTTCTACGGTGTCGGGTGGTTACGTTCCGATTCCGTGTTCGACCCGCGTGGTTACGACCCAAGTGGTTTCGACCTACTCTAATGTATATCCCTACATGTGAATACCTGAGTACAGGGATATACACTGTGCGGTAAACAAATGGATATTCGGTAGCTGTATATTGTATGGCTTCAGAGATGTACGTGTCAATAGGGACCTATATACTAACGTTAGTATATAGGTCCCTGGTGTCAATAGGTAGTTGTTTCCGTATAATGTGTAGTCAACGTGCAGTGAGAAGGTTTCCTAACATTTTTTTCTACTATCGCGGAGCATGGATGTTGATGAATTTGATTTAGTAATGAATTATATTTGAACAGTTTTCCATAAAAATTAATCAAATACTTCATCAAATGTACCGTGATTACATATGTCTAAACTATTCTCTATTGAGAAGTTGATGGCTCGTTTTAATACTCCCCCTCAACTTCTCTACGAAAGGCCTAATAAAAGCAGTTCAGAAATTGACTAAATGAAGAACCAAAACCGGGTCCCACTTCGATCGGTGTTTTAGGATTGATGCATTATCATAGGCATATTTTGGATGCACAGATGTTGTTTTGTAATGGAAATGCGATTAAAAATGCCGATTCTGCTGACTTAAAAAACATTCATCACGGTAGAACACTTACTTGCGATATCTGTGTCACCGGATTCCTTCATTCATTCAAAACTGCGTTTGACCTCTAAAAAAGTCTAAAACTATTTCTCCGGATAACTATTTTACACTGAAACATTTAATACAATTTATCCGGATAAAAAGTTTTAGACTTTCTTAGAGGTCAACCGGGTTCAAACGCAGTTTTGAATGAATGAAGGAATCCGGTGATACAGATATCGCAAGTAAGTGTTCTACCGTGATGAATGTTTTTTAAGTCAGCAGAATCGGCATTTTTAATCGCATTTCCATTGCAAAACAACATCTGTGCATCCAAAATATGCCTATGATAATGCATCAATCCTAAAACACCGATCGAAGTGGGACCCGGTTTTGGTTCTTCATTTAGTCAATTTCTGAACTGCTTTTATTAGGCCTTTCGTAGAGAAGTTGAGGGGGAGTATTAAAACGAGCCATCAACTTCTCAATAGAGAATAATGTCTAAACATTAATGTAGGTTTCTCCAAATTAAATTACATACGATAATTAACACAAATATACGTGGTCGATATAAAAAAAAAATGTAGACGAAAAAATAAAATGTAAAACTGTTGAAAGTGTTAATTAATTTCGTCGGAAGCAATTAATTGTTAATTAATTGCTTTGGAACGAAACCACTCGGGTCGAACATGGATTCGTGTCGAAACCACGCGGGTCGAACAAGTAGTCGGAACGTAACCACCCGCATTCAGTTCTACAGGTACAATGTGGTTGTGATTGTTATTTGTTCCAACGTACCTTGTTTTTATTGTGAGTTGAACAAAATCTGCATGTTGGGGTGTCATAAAACGAAGTTCGACCGAAAAGAGGTTTGTACAATTTTACTGAAAACTCTCGGTAAAATTTTCTCATGTAACACCAGGACGCTGACATTTTGACTAACTTTTTCTCCTCCTAATGAAAAGAGTTATCGAATCGCCTGTGCGTTTTAATTTGTTCCGGAACAAATGCTACAATAAAACTGCTATTTCAAAAAAATATGCATATTGATAGAATTGAAACGTTTCTTGTGAAATTGGAAGATCTAATGTAATCAAAATTTATACGTTGCCCCATTCATGAATCTATGTTTACCAGTTAATATAATCACCGTTCCTTGGTTTTGACATTTAGAATTTAAGCGCGCAATTTACATTGATGCTTCTCTCGGCATGGCAGGAAAGTGGCTAGGATAATTTCTTGTGTTACTTGTTAAGTTATTTTATGCCAGTGCCTGGGGTATTCGGCATGGCAAGTGTTACAGCTGCCAAAAAGTTAGATTGCAAAGACTTACATGGATACTTAAAAACACTCTCTCACAGTATCCTTGATAAACTGTACAATCACCCGGCTACCTGTCTGGCGGTATTTCGGTAAATAACAGTTTAACACGAGATGCAGCAAATTATGTACAGTTGTAATAATGATAATGACAATTTATTTAATTAATTATTTTTTTTGCAGACAACTTCCTCAGCTATCTAAACATTATGTGATGCGAATGCTTTTCATTGAACAACCAGTATCACAGTCTGCTGTTGGTTTATGGGTTACCAATGAACACAATGAGTAAGTATGTATACATGTATAAGAGGACCTAGGCATTTCAATCTGCACATATTGACCTTGTAGCTATAGCAACTACACTGTAAGTGAACAGTCAATCAAGTTCTCCAGATTAATTGGGAAAACATCCTCATCATATCCAGGGCTATGTCCAGAGATGTCAATCCAGTTTGCTTTCCATTTTTTCCCCCTTTCAGTTATATTTGTTTCTGGCAAGAACTAAGAGACTTAAAAACCTACCAAGGTCGGAAACTAGGTTGTGTTATAAGAGCAAAGGTCATGAGCATGGGGGAATGAAACTATATACATGGGACCCAGTAGTTCATTTGAGAGACTATCCGCATTGTAAGCACTTGGTCCTTAGTTTAAGTTCCAGTCAGATTCCAACTTTTCTGTTCTTTTCCGTTTCAGTCAGTACAGTTTCTTGGAATAACAGCAAACTTGTTGCAAGATACATATCAGGGAGAAATTTTTTTTGAGCAAGACAACTGATAAACAAAACAAACTATACAAACTTTTGATCTGAAACTTGATTGAGCCAAAAAAAAAAATCCAAGATATCCAGGGATATTGAGGTTAAAGTGCTTAGATAAAAAGTGGTTGAGACTTGGACTTCCAACTCAGTGCTACAAATCAATGGTACTCAATATTTCAATGTTCAAGATACTGAAGTTCAACTGTAAATGAGTTAAGTACAAGTTTTGAGGAGTTTAGACATACAGTAACTGTGTATTCTCATGATATTGTTTCTTTTTATTCAGGATCGATTATATTAGTTTCTGAATTTATTTCTTGGACCTATCTCTGTTACAAAAATGTCAAATTGATTGGTGTTCATCATCTAGAAGTTGCCTGGTGTTGTTCATATTCATAGCAGTATAATATAGCCAGAAGCACCCAACAAAAGAAACTGTTTTCTAGTGCATAATTTATAAAGTACATACCATGTTAATGATGAAAATGAATAAGATTCTGACACTAAATGTTTATTGTTCAGGGAACACAAATATGCTTCCAAAGTACTTTCTGATCTGAGAGTGTGGCATGAACAACAAATGCAAGGGGGTCTGCTGGGTTGGATTCTGAATGAAACATTTCGCTCTAATATGAAAGTTGCTCTGCTTGGAGGGTAAGGTTCACAGCTGATGAATATAGATTGATGTTTAAAAAGATAATAATGAATTATTAGTTTAGTAATTTATCTTCCAATTTATTACTTAAAGGAGGATTTGTCTCTAAACTCTTTTATGGGTTGTTGCCAAAGCAAACTCAACCCTTATTACATGTATTTTGCAGAGGACTGGATTCCAAGATTTCTGGAGGGCCTCTACCTCCAGACAAACATGCCAAGGACATTCCATTTTTAGATAAATATGCTCTTGAAAGATGGGAGGTATTCAATTGTACAATATCATCTTTCCTGAACATCAAGATTATAACCTTAAATTGCATTCTGAAAGTCAAAATGAGACAAAATTTAGACTGTTAAAATGTAATAATTTTATTTTTTATTTTTGGTACTTTCAACCAGAGGAATGTGTACATTTCCTTTAACATCTGTGTTTGTTTTGTAGTGTGTTCTCCATTTTATGGTGGGGTCCACTGAGGGGACAGAGGGAGTCAGTCGAGATATCATTGATGTTCTCCTTCATGCTGGACTCATGACCACGTAAATTTCTTTTTATAATACTTGACTCATGACCATGTAAATTTCTTTTTATTATACTGGAGTGGACTCATGACAATGTAAATTTCTATTTATTATGCTGGACTCATGACCACGTAAATTTTTTTTTATTATGCTGGACTCATGACCCCGTAAATTTCTCTTTATTATACTGAACCCATGACCACGTAAATTTCTTTTTATTATACTGGACTCATGACCACGTAAATTTCTATTCATTATGCTGGACTCATGCTCGTGTAAATTTCTTTTTATTATGCTGGACTCATGCTCGTGTAAATTTCTTTTTATTATACTGGGCTCATGACCACGTAAATTTCTTTTTATCATACTGGACTCGTGACCATGTTAATTTCTGTTTATTATTGATTGTCAGTTCAAGTCATTACATAATGTCTCTTCTTATCCCCACAAGAAGACAAATGTCATAAACTAGGACATTTAAACATTTCTCAGTCAATAATATATGAAGAATTAGTTATAAAACTATTGATGATAGGGATGGTGTGGACCCTCTGCCGTCCATTACTCCTGCAGGTTTTCAGTTTCTGTTGATGGATACGGGGTCACAAGTTTGGTATTTCATGCTGCAGTACTTGGACACAGTTGAGGTAACATTTCTTATCAATAACTCACTACTATTTCATGCATTAAGTGTTATTTTGATTCTAAAAAAAGTAAAGATGGAGTTTGCATATGACAGTAGTATTTATTATTTTCAAGATTGGCTTTTGTAGATAAGACAAGAATTCTCTATTTTTAAGTTTTAGTAGATAAGTTTAGTAATTCATGTTTTACTCTCCTAATATAATTTTTTGACAGAGTCGTGGTATGGACCTTATAGACTGCTTATCATTCCTATTTCAACTTAGTTTTTCAACACTAGGAAAAGTAAGCATTGTAATATTGCATGAATCTAATTTTGATCTTTCATCTAAAGATAGTCATTCAGTGATTTCTCCATATAAATCTTAAAACACTTTTTCCAGGATTATTCAACAGAGTTTATGAATGATGGACAACAAAGGTTTTTACAACATTTGAGGGAGTTTGGTCTTGTTTATCAAAGAAAGGTAATTAGGGGAGTTATAATACATGGGTTTTAGTAATGTTACTATTTATTGTATAAGTTCAGTGATAAAATTGTTTGCAGTCAAATCAAGGGTAACTTCTTCTGTCAAACATATTATTATAAAGATTTTTTGGAGCAGGTCGATTCTTTAATAACTATGTCAAAGCCTAACTGAAATTTTGTAGTTATTTTATGGGACTTTGATTTACTTAAAGGAGTCATAGTTGAATAAAGCTATGGTATATTTTTTGTAATATTGACTTTCTGTCATCACATCTATTATCAATTATATTTTGCCATTTTATCATTTGTATTATATTTCTGAGTAAAAGATTGTTTTTAAGGTAGAAGTCATTTTTCAAGACTGACATTAAGCATGATTAAATAGTGTTCATAAATACACATTATTTTTGCATATTAGAAAATCCTTTGCAAAGAAAAATCCCTGATCATGTTATGAGTATTAGTGCTTTGTTACAGAGGAAAATTCAGAGGTACTACCCCACCAGACTTGCCATCAATCTTTCCTCTGGATTGTCAGACTTCACACTGGGAAAGAATACTGGTTATCTAATGGTGGAAACCAACTACAGAGTGTATGCCTACACAGGTATGTATAGACTGCTGGCTATAGTAATGGTCAGAATAGATCTCTACTGTTAAACAGATGGCTGTACTTTTGAAAATAAAATTCTTATCTCCAATGGAGATAAGAATTCTCCATTCATTTAATGCCACCAAAAGATCAATGTAAAACATGTACGTGTATCTGCATAATGAGATATCCATACATGTTTTACATTGACCTTTTGGTAGCATTGAGTGAAGGAAGAATTTTGTACTAAATATTTCATATGGTTAAATCTGAATAGATACATAAATTACTACATCACTAGTATAAATAAGAGAGATGATAAAAGAGATAAAAACACATAAAAGAGATGATCTCTCAGTCTGGTGGTCTTTTGCCAGGTGTATCTCTTGTAAGAATCTCTGGAATAAACTTTTACATGTTTAGAAATATATCGGGAAAAAAACATGAAAATCTTCTTCTTTAGAACATCAATTCTACAAAGTTTCACATGCAATATTGTCATTTGTTATAGATTTAAATGCTCTCGTAACTTGTCCCTGGATTGATGTACTAAAATTTTACACAATTCTCTGTACAAGGTAGATGATATGTGTGGATGTAGTGTCCCATGATTTGTTTTGGTTTTTCTGAGTACTGTTTTCTTCCTTATAGATTCTCCACTACTTGTGGCTCTGGTAGCATTGTTTTGTGAGATGTTATACAGGTAAGATATCTAAATAATACGCTAATGCTTTAATGATATCATGCATACACAACCCAATTTTGTAGATTAATATATATGTAACTTTTCATAGGTTTCCAACATTTTGTGTGGGAAATTTGACACGTGGCAGTGTGAGAGATGCTTTAACCCGCGGAATCACAGCTGACCAGGTAGGTTAGAGATGCTTTAACCCAGGGAATCACAGCTGACCAGGTAGGTTAGAGATGCTTTAACCCGCGGAATCACAGCTGACCAGGTAGGTTAGAGATGCTTTAACCTGCAGAATCACAGTTGACCAGGTAGGTTAGAGATGCTTTAACCCAGGGAATCACAGCCGACCAGGTAGGTTAGAGATGCTTTAACCCGCGGAATCACAGCTGACCAGGTAGGTTATGGGAAGTCACCAAATAAAGTATTAAGGATATATCACAGCCAAATGTTAAAAGCAAATATTACTCAAAAATATCATGAAAAATCTTATTTTTATAGCAACTAACAAATAAATTTAAAAGTTACCCAAGTTATAATGCTATAATTTAGAATGGGGCAGTTTACACTTCATGAATTAGGAAGTGGTTTATAGAAAAGTATAGATTGTTCCAACCTAGGGAAATGATTTTAACTTGGATAACTATCAAATTCATTCCTTACAATTAAATTTTCTACTATAAAGAGTTGAAAATAAGATGATTTGTCCTCTAAAATGACATGAAAATGTACAAAATTTTATTAAGCTGATTGATACGTTTTTTTGACGAAAGTCATATTTCACTTAGGCAACACAGGTTATATATGCTTTTGTTTTTGTCCAATCAAATAGTGAGAATTTGTTATGCAATGTACTCCTACTAAAATTTTGGTTCCAATGAAAGGTGTTATCAAGGTTATTAAAAATAGAAAAATGTGTAAAGAAAATTTAAACAAGCTCTTCTCCTAGTATTGGTCTGATCTCTGTAAAACATGATACACTGGTAGAGTATTTTACACCATGATGCACAACTCTGCATGCAAAACTATTTTTAATTTTGATGAAAAATGTCACCAGGGTCATATATAGAAGTGGTATAATCTGAAAATCTTTATAAATGCTACTCCACAAACAGTTTTGGTTTGATTTCAATATAATGTGTTGCAAACATCAAGATACATAGTTTTGTAAAACTTAAAGACAGTGTTTGAAATAAAAGTTTTTCTTTGTAGATAATATCCTTTTTAAAAACCCATGCTCATCCTAAGATGCTGAGGAATGTAAGTATGATTGAAGGTGAAATAAAGCTAATCTAATGAAATACTGAGATTTTTTACAACATTTATTTATTTAAATTTTATTATGCAGTATTATGTATAGTGCTAGTAGTATTATAATGTAGTACTAATTATGTAGTCACTTTCTAGCATCTAATGGAAATACAGTTCTCAACTTCACAATGTATCTGAAACTTGTGAAAATTAGGTCATTTTAAGTTTTTTCTATGTTTAGCATGTGTATGCACCTTGGTTTTAGACACCCCAGGTCAGAAAAAACCAACAAAATCGGAAGTTCTGAAAACAACTCATTTGATCGAAACCTTTGAATTCTGATGATTTTTTCTATATTTGTCTAAAATCTGTCATATTAATACCTTGATTTTGCTAAGGAATAGATCTCTCTGTGAGAAAAATAGATTAATGAAATCAAATCTTTTGATTGACATCATTTTTCCGACTATAAAGACTGTGTTTTAATTTTTGGCTTGTGTGTTTTTTGTGAATAAGTAGGTAGCTATTTGAAAGATGGGTGAACACTGAACAGAGAAAAAACTCGGAATGGTCCTATTAGAAATTATCATTAAAATTGATCAGGAGGTGACATTTTAAAATAGTTTATCAAAGACATCTATCAGATAATTTGATTTCAGTCTCCAGTGATTCCTTCAACCATTACGGACCAAATAAGACTGTGGGAATTAGAGCGTGACAGATTTAAATTCTCTGAAGGTGTTCTATATGACCAGTTCCTGTCACAAAGTGATTTTGAGCTGCTGAGAGACTATGCCAAAGTAATTTGTTACATAACATAAATTTTTCATGTTGATAAAAAAAAGGTTGAAGATTTTCTTACAATATGAATATCTTTCAAAATGCTATTATATGTTATACCCAATATTTATAGACATTAGGCATACAGCATTTAATAGTAGAAATAAGAACTTTTATTTTAAACTTCAACATAGTGTAAACCTTTCTTGATGTGGACTTAAAATCCATGGGTGGATAGATATACAGCATCATTTTGGGACTGGGAGATAGGGGTCAGAAGTGAAATTGCATCACATGTAGAGTTGTCTCTTTTACAGGATTTAGGAGTTCTGCTTTGGGACAATGCAATAAAGAGAGTGATGGTTGTGACGAAGAATGGCCATGATGATGTCAAGCGATACTGGAAGCGACAGAAACAGTCCAATTCCTGAAAGGGTCAGTCAGTCAAGTCACTATAATTATTCACCCTCTGTGGAATAAAAACAATTAATATAGTTTGTATAGGCTTATCTTCCAAAAACATTATCAACTGGGGAAAAAAATTGTCTCAGTCTAAAGGCTGTATTAATTAACAAAATATGTACACTGGAAACAGGTTCAAACTCTAAAATAAATCACATGGAATGCATTTATGTATACTGAGGGCAGGATATTGAAATCAGAAATATAGCTGAATGACACATTGTCTGACTTATCTTTGGGTAGGTCAGGTACTTGCTGAATCAAGTTGGTGACTTAAAAGTCGAGAAAAGTCTGTCAGAAAACTACTGTGGATTGCTGCGGCATTAGACAGAGTGGTATTGGACCCTGCCCAGAGAAGTAGAAAGGACAGACAGTTTGGTGGCCCTGGTGACTCTTTAAGAGAATGGTGTATTGTTATAAAGACAGGAGTTGTGCAATACTTCTTTAATGTAATTGTTATAATAAGATTGTCTCTAATGATCTGTTTACACGTTTTGAGAAAGAAAGCACATTAAAAATGTTTATCCATTTTTTTTTCTTTCTCTTTATTCCTTCAAGGCTGGTTCATTTTTTCCTTGTGTTCAAGCTTTCATTGTGTCCATTCCTAAACCATCATATAAGCTTTCAGTACAAAGCTTAGAGTATTAAGAAGTACATTCATAGTCATGCAGAAGAGTGGAGGATATAGACACAGTCATACAGATGGCAATGCCATTTCAAAGGAGGAAATGTCTGTTTTGTTAAGCAGCAATAATGTAGCCCTCTGATTTTTTTTTTATCTGTTTTCCGTTTCTCAAAAAAAAAAAAATGGAAATGGCTACATTAATTAATTACACCTAATTTTGTTCAGTTTTCACTTTTAATGTATATAGATTTATGATTTCAGAGACATTGGGTAAAAGGCTTTTTAAACAATTCAATCATCCACTATCCAGGTTTGATAACCTTAGTTTCACAGAAATATAAAATTGCCCACTTCTCCATATAATAATTGTGGTCACTATTCTGATGGTGTCACTAGAGTGTTCACGAGAAAAATGGTATTCTAGCGATGTGTATGAACCAGTGACGACACTCTTGGTATATGTGGCAGAACAAGTCTATTGGCCTGAGGATCTGGTTCATGTTCACTGACTGCTCGTCTGCTGCGTGTACGCACGACTTTATCCACGTGATAACATCGCTTACAGTTCCAATGTTTGTCTTCCCCTGGGATCGCGTACATGAGCTTTTCTGCTGTCGTGTGTCCCGTCGGATCCGAGCGACTGGTGAAATCGCCATCCCTGGCGTCAAAGTCATCACTCTTACGAAAATTGTTTCTTTGCGGAAAGAAAGACGGCTTGAATAGGGCCGATAATGAAATTTCTGGTTCATCTTGCTTCTGTTCTTCCCGTTTTTTGGCACCAAACACAGGCTCCTTTTTTTCAGGACCCTGCTGTGTTGGGTACTGTACACCCCACTTTTCAACAAAATAATCCCGCACCTTTTCCGACATTTTATCCGTACCAAGAATCAAGCCTTTCTCCTTGCTATGCTTCATGACACTGTCTAGGTGCTTTTTCTTGCGTATTTTAGGATGTCTCTCGGCGAGAAAAGAATCCATGTCTTTGTTGAGGGATTGGATGGACTTCCCTCCGTAATGCCCATATAGATTTCTATCCTTAGACGCCGCCGTATCTTCCCGCTTCAGCTCCAGACATTTTTGGAGGATCTTTTTCTGCGTCACCGCCTTCCTGACGGCGACACTGGAGCGTTCCTGTCGGGAAATGTTGTACTGGAGCTCTTTCTTGATGTAGGCGTTGTAGAAGTCGTGTTGGTTTCTTGCCACATCGTTCATCACGCAAAGAAACTTTCGATGATTATCCTCCTGTTTCCTAACGTTTATTAACCGTCCCATAAACATCGTCAACAACTTTTCACTTCGTCAAATCATGTCTTCTTGACCAAATCCACAAAATAACATTTGCCTTCAACATATTAACTCCATTCATTTGACCGAGTTACTAGTAAATAATACAAGATGCTTGTAAACATGTAACAGGGTATTCATAGTCCGTGCGCCTGTGTGATATAGTACACAAGATTATTTACTGTGGTGTATCAATAAAAATGTCTCCATAACTATTGTCTTAATTGTTCTTTAACGATCAAATGGCATAATCTTATTGTTAATCGGGATTCTGGACCAAATAACCAATTTGATGTAATCATTTCAGTTTATCTGCTTGATAATTCAGCATTTAGTACAAAAACATTTACGATTCTGGAGCTATCGCGCATTCTCAAACCAAGCGCGCACAATCATTGTTCTTGAAAGGCTCATGTTTCAATTAAAAAATATCTGCTACAAGATTTTATTGTCTTGCAGTCGATGTAATCATGCAAGAAGTTTGCTCTATGCAAATGATTTGGGATTTAAATCTGTTTTATCATTTATCACAGCAGTTGAATGGTCTTTTTTGTTTATCTGGTAGCTTCAACACTCCATATATAGCTGTCAGCAAGACATTCATAGAAGAGACCCCATCCGGCTTCAAACAGTCAATTTTTGTACAAATAAAAACTAACGGGGTTTCATCCAACTAATCACAATATCCCCTCTTTAAATAGAGCATGATATTGAACAATATAGGACACTAGTGACTCGGCACATGTATGAAAAGGCATAAAATTATTTGCACGTAGTCTAGGTAGAAACCTCCTGTTTGAATTTTGCACGACATTGGCCAGAAAATTGCACAGCATTTAAGATAAATCTTGATTGAGAATTCCACGTAATACCGTATGTTTGATACTCATAATTTCTGTCAATTTTGCAAGTTAATTTATAGGTGATATTCAGTGTTTTTAAATGGATCAATAACAAGCGATTGTGAGATTGAAAATTAAAAACATGGATTAAACAACAATCTGAAAAAACTTTGACAGTTTTAGTCTCTGTCAGGATGATTTATTTACCTTAGCTATCGTATAACAGGCTAGGGGCTAGGAAGTAAGTCATTCTCTGTTTTCTTAATCATTTTGAGTCCAGGCCCGTAGAACCGGGGGGGGGGGGGTTTAATACCTAAATTTTCTACCCAAATGTTAGAGAAAGGTCTAACATCCCCGAAATAGGTTTTGAGTTTGGGCAATTTACATTTTTCTCCCCTTGTTTGTCATTTTTTAAGCCCCCCCCCTTTTAAAAATGTAGCTTGCTACAGGCCTGACTGAGACAAATTGCCATTCATTGGCTTGTAAGGCATTGCAAAGTCAAGAGAGTGAAGGGGGGGGGGGGTTCTTGTTAAGCATTTTAAGAGGAATCCAGTTATTTTTACCTTTTAAGAAACAAAATTTAACAGGAGAGGAGAACAGGAGACCCATGGGTCACAACGCTCACCTGAGTAACGTTGACCCTGCTATTCTTCACCAGATTTCCCCCTTGTAATACGTATTGTGGCCCCACCCTACCCCTGAGGGCCAGGATTTGAACAATTTAGAATCTTCACTATCCTAGGTGGCTTCCATGTAAGTTTCAGCGTTTCTGGCCCAGTGGTTCTTGAGATTTTAAAAGATTTTTCCTATATATTTCAATGTAAAACTTTGATTCCCCGTTGTGACCCCACCCCACATGATTGGTCATGATTTGAACAATTTAGAATCTACACTACCCCAGGATGCTTCCATGTAAGTGTCAGCTTTTCTGGCCCAGTGGTTCTTGAGAAGATTTTTTTAACGACCCCACCCTATTTATGTCTTTTCTTGATTATCTCCCCTTGTAAGGGGGCTTTGCCCTTCATTTTAACAATTTAAACTCCCCTTTACCCAAGGATGCTTTTTACTAACTTTGGTCAAAATTTACCCAGTGGTTTTTGAGAAGTTTAAAATGTGAAAAGTTAACAGATGGATAGACAGATGGACGGACAGACGACGGACAACAGGTGATCAGAAAAGCTCACTTTAGCTCAGGTGAGCTAAAAATGCAACGGACCAGACCGGGATTCGAACATGGACCCCCTGAATCTCCAGTCAGGTGCTTTACGAACTATCTGGCCACCGGCGATCAAACCGGTTTGAAAGCCACATTCCTCCCTTCTTAAAGGTATTTGCCACCCACCCCTACCCCCCCAACCCCGAAAACACCGACCCAGGTTCTTTCCTGGCAGGTTTTTCACCTGTCACTTCTAGGGCATGGCGCGGCACCAAATGTAACAGGAGAGGAGAAATATGCAACGGACCAGACCGGGATTCGAACCTGGGCCCCCTGAATCTCCAGTCAGGTGCTCCATCACATCTGATCGAACCGTCTTACCGCCACAAAAACATATGTGAACTAAAACTTACACTTGTTCGAAACAGAACGGATACTGATAAAATCATCTCAGATCAAGTAAAAAAAAATTCTACTTGTGTAAAGATACAAGGGGAATAACTTTTCCTACTGAAAAAAAAATAACACATTAGGATAATTCACAGTACTTTATGTGATGAATCCAATTCACAAATAACTTATGATCTAAGTGAAACTTACAATCATTTGCAACAAAATAAAATCAAATCTGCAGAAAATAAATACAACAGCATTTCAATGTGTTATATGATAATTTTATAGAAGGAATGCTCTATTGGGGGGGGGGGTTACTTTACAGACATCTGAGGGATCAATACATGTATAAAGAAAAGTACTGGAAGTGTTATTTTAATTTACAAAGAATTGATTTCTGTTTTATTTTTATTAATTCAAGAATGTATCCAAGATAAAGGGAAGTAATAGGTTGCAGTCTTGAGTATCAAATAATCTAAATGCTGAAAGATCATATTACTTAAAATAAATGTGAAAATGTTTACAACATGTCCAGGATGATAGTGTCTGCATAATAACTTCTGAAATCACACATCATTAATATGCAACATAAAAACTACATTGATTAAAATATGCCCAATGCAGAACAATTGCATTGTAGTCCTGGTAAAATTCATTCCTGTGACATTATGCCATTAAAGACACAGATGTACACATGTAAATATATTAATGTACAAATTACACATATTTCAATATTTTGTTATACATACATAATAAATAATTATCTCAGGTAAATCACATTACTAAGTCTCCTATCACAAGTGTGGCCAGCACTTTGTTCCACATCCACTGTACACTTCTCTGTCATTTACATGTTTTGTCAAAGAAATGAAACAAAAACAACTCAACAAAAAGAAATCTATTCTAAAACTGCAAAATACCTCCAATCCCCAGTCTTATGAGCTCAACTTTCACGCTAACTTTTACAACTATAATAGTTTTCTTATGCCCATAATTGTTAAATTTTATTTTGTACATTTAGAGCACATCATCAATAATACAAAGTCCTACAATAGTGGACTAACACAGTGCCAATTTACCATCACAAATCTCGTTCACACAGTTTCCTTACAGTCAGAATGGAAAGTGACATTCATAACCAACATAATTAAATCTAATTTGATGAGACCTTTGTCCCTCAACAAAAGGAAGTGGGAGAAAATCTACCCCCAATGGATCATGAAAGAATATGATCAAAGAATGTCAGATGATACAATGAAAATTTACAAGAATTCTACAATGAAGTAAAGCTGTAACCACTAGAGTAGTTAGACCTGAAAAATGCATTCATTTACAGCATTGGTTAACTAAACCTTTACCATGACAACAGAACACACATGTATGATGACCAAACTTGATAGAGGGGAGATTTATAGAGGGGAGATTTATAGAGGGGAGATTTAGAGACGGGAGATTTATAGAGGGGAGATTTAGAGACGGGAGATTTATAGAGGGGAGATTTAGAGACGGGAGATTTATAGAGGGGAGATTTATAGACGGGAGATTTAGAGACAAAGCAACAGAACACAGTCATGATTATAGACTGTGTACGTGGACTTACTGATATCCTTTATACCTAGATTTGACCTTTTCTTACAGAAAGATATCATTTCCATTGTTACATAATTTTGTTTCTAGTTAGAATGTATTATTTCTATTGCACATATAGAGATCACATTATCTGTTGTGAACCATAACCCTGCCATTTACCCACGTAAATGATAAGAATGATTTCATAAATTTGAATACATATCCCATGCACACATGCTTTACACTAACTACACACACACTTTAATACACCATTGTTAAGCAATTATCATCTCTCTGACAAATTCAAAATCTTAAGATCAGATGCCATTTTGTAGAAATAAACAATGTGTGCAGATCCTCTCCTGAAACCAAGCCTCACTTTGGATACATCCGTCTCTGTCCTGGTTTCAGACGACCTGATGACCTTGTGGAGGCGGGGCCCGACTGGAAACCTTCACCTTGCCCTCCTTGGAACTGGGCGGGGTTAAACATGACTGGCATACCAGATGGTTGCTGGTTGTTTTCTGTAGGTCCCTGAAGTGGAACATTTTGAAAATTTACTTTTTCTTATCAAACAAAATATATGTTAAATTTGAAAACCAAATATCACTAGGTTATCTTCATTGCTACTACAGTTGCAAAAGATATTCTGATTTTCTATAATAAGATTATTTTACTTCAAGGTTTCATTTATTTTGGACATTGCAAAATTTTTTGTTATAATGTATTAATCCAAGGCAAATTTTTTGTTATAATGTATTAATCCAAGGCAATGAATGTCGAAAAAATGAAGTTTACTGCATTGGTGTTTTTCATCGCGCTGTCATCAGGATTTTGTTTTCCTGCTAAATGTCCTAGACTGAAGACAGTTTATAACAAGACTGCATATTCAATATAACCACCTGAGCTCTATCTCGTCCCTGAGCCCTGGGGTCATGATTTTCACAATATGGTAAAAGTAATAAAATCATGAAAACAGATAGCCTGCTAGATGTCAAGGAGAATCTTCACATTCTAGTATATCAAGCACTTTCATATATCAAGCACTTTCAATGTATTTCACACTTAGCACAACTTGAAGGGGGGGGGGGGGGGGGGGGAGGGGCTGAATCTTGGAAATCTTGGACAGAGACATTAAATTTGATGGTTAGTTTATGCTTTTCAAGTATTGAAAATGAATAAAAATTGCTGAAAATATTTTCTTGCTTTAAGAAATATTAATGCAGAAAAATAAATCTCATAAAAAGCATTTGTACACAAATGCATGGACAGTTTACCCCTGTTTATTGAAGCCATTGTGCATTACTGGTAAATATCTGGACATCTAAACTTACTTTTGGAATGCCTTTTCTAGTACAATTATTACTTATGTTGAGACATTTACCAACCATTTTTTTGTTTCTTTAAAAACAGCACAAGCCATTAAAACTAACATTTAAGGACACATGCTATAAACAAAAGATTGGATGCATGAAATTACATACTGTATATTTTTTTTTTGACTTATTTTTGTTGAATGATGCAAATATCAAATCTCTGAACAATTAAAAAATTGTAAACTTTCAATGTTATTTTTTTTTTGTCATCACCCTTATAAATCTATACAATTTTTTACCATCTTACTGAACATAATTGAGAAACTGTGAATGAAAAATAAAACTTCATGAGCTAAACTGATTCATTTTACTTGTTTAAACATTAGTTGTTATTTTCATGAAAAAGTTTGTTTTTAGCAGCTTGATTAATGCACAACTTTCCTATTTTGTTAAAAACCATTAAAGTAAAGCAAAGCCACACACTCCAAAAGCATCCAATGAAACATATTAATTCAGACATCAACATCTGACAGACTACAGAAATATACATGTATAATTTATTCCAAATAATACTGAAATCTTTCAAAAAAAAAAAACAAAAAACTATTTATAATAAAAATCTGATTTTTGAAAAATCTAGTTCAATTTAAATAATCTAACAATAAAGTGCAATATAATTTCAAAGATAAATATATTAATATCTATCAGTATATAAATTCGTTTCAAATTCTAAATGACAGTTACAGTTAAACCTTATTTTCTCAAACTTGATGGGACAGAGAAAAATCTTCTCAGATATCCAAGGATTTGAGATATCAAGGTTAAAATGCAGGTGTAAAGAAAAAATGATTTGGACTTCAAAATCACTTGGACATATCCATAGTATTCGAGATATCTGGGTTTGAGATAACAAAGTTCAACTGAATATACAATGTACTATAAAAGTTAACAAAAAAAAAAGTAAAAGAAACAGTGTGAGATATAAGCCAGTTTCAGTCAAATCAAAGTGTATTAGCAAACACAGGTAAGGGTTACCTGAGACAGGAAGTGTTGGACTTCACTAGAAAATGAGCTCTGAGAGCTGTTTCTAGAAAGCTAAAACAACCAAAATTGCAATCTTCTAAACAAGAAGCCAAACATACATGTATTTATCTGAGCACAGACATTTTGTCTCATGCTACATTGAACATTGATCAAAAAGGACCAGGCTCTTACCTCCCCTGCTGGAGGCTTCTCCGCTTGTGAAGCTGGTGGATTCATTGATGGTCCAGTGGATGTGTTCTCTTGTTGCGTGGAAGGACTGTCTGATTCTCCACCTACAAATCAATACAAAGATACTGTAATAACAATTAGAATCCAGGAAAACTGTGTTTTGGGTTAAACCTTGAATTTTAAGTCTCCTTGTGGATTGGACAATAAGGGAGAAAATGTTATGAACCCCATCTCCCTGAAATTTAGACAGGTGTTCTTTAAACTGATCTACTGAGATACAGGTATCAGTACAGAAACTTGTCTGACCATCTCATTCCTCCTTCCTTAAATGTATTTGTGTAGTAAACACAAACTAAGCTTATCCCTGGCAGGATATTCACCTGTCACTTCCAGGGCATGGCACCAAATGTGAAAGAAAGAAGAGAACAGAGCAGGCTTAGGTTCCCTTCCTGATCTGGTCTGTCACATTTTCTCCCTTTTTGATACAATCAACTGAACATTTCTTTTGCGTAGTTCCACAGAGGAAACTTCCTCACATACCTGGACTAAATATGGCTGGAGATGACTGTGAAGAAGGCATGACATTGAACAGACTGGTCGGAACATTGGCTGAACCCGAGGACTTACTGCTGTTCATAACATCCACATACTTTGGCACAGAACCTTGAACAAAAGGCAAATAACCTTGAATAAAATAAGTAGATCCACAATATCTTATTCTTCAGTGGAACTTAAGAGACAGTAAATCATGCCAAAAATGTATAAATCAAAGATCCAGATGTAAGAGGTGCATGCAGTCACCCAGAAAGTTAGTACCATCCCTGTCTATGTAAAATTAATATATAATTTAAGCTTCCCTCCAAAATGATACAAACCATCCCAAACTACACATTCTGTTGAAATGCCATTATATTTTGATAAAGCAATATTGACAAATAAAATGGACAGAACTACATACACATAAAAATGTTAACCTACTGAACCTAGTCCATTAAGCTTAATCCCAACACCCTGACCAAAAATCCAGCATGCAGTCTTTACATTACTTTATTACAAACCAGGGTTCACTTAAGAAGAGAAAAGAATACAAGAAACCATCAGATAATTGTAGGAATAATAAAACCCAAACAAAACATATGACAGTAGAAAGCAAAATAAATCTTAAATGTGCAATGAATATTTAAACTTCAGACTTTAATAAGCTGAGGAAAAAGTTTTTCAATGAATGGATGGAAAGGTATGATATCAAAACCAATTGAGAAATGCCTGGTTAAGATTCCTCCTTTAATATAGTATACAGCTACAGCAGCTTAACTTACCTTTACCTTTCCTTAGTGAAAATTTATTCCCCATGGGAGGGGCCCCACCAGGGGGGACTTCATTACTAGCTGGCTGCATAGAGGATCCCACTACAAAACATTGATCTTCTCATTTTTCAAAATTCTACAGATCATATCAAATTCTTATGCACAAAATACAAGAATTTTCCAAGCAACTTTTCTTTCCTAGTCTGAGACGAAATCATTATATGTATGAATTAAGAGTCCATGTTCACAAAGAACCAATGGTAAAAAAATTTATTTCAAAGCTGTTACTTTGCTTGAAAAGAGAAACAAATCTCACAATGTCAGACTCTATATTTAATGTATCAAGAGGCCAAAGTCCTTCAATTAAACAAATCTGAATCTTCACTTGACAAAATTACTAATATAGTAGAAGCCATGTTTTCCTTTAAAATTCAAGAAAAAGAACAAGTGCACTTATGTGCCCCGGTAAAATGTGAAAAAATGAATCAAATTAAGCATAATTTTTCATCTCAGATCATTAATTGATATCTAAACCATAAGATTCAACAAATTTTATCTCTGAAATTCATGAATATACAAAGAGCAAAGCCATACAATGTGGTAGGGGTCAGCCAACATTCGTGATTTTCCATAGTAAATCGAGGACGGTCATTCATTTCAAAGCTTTTGTTTATTGTCAGCCTAACGTTGTACAAACTTGTGCGATTGACAAAAAACACATTATACATTTATAAAACTTGTGTGAAAGTAGGAAATTTGTACAAGATTAGGCTTGTACTTAAAATATTAAAAATGTATGAAAAGTTCAATGTTTTTCCTATAGCAAGCGAGAGCTATTTACTTGTGTGACCTATGTTGAACCCACCCGTGGAATAAATTATTTAAAATACCGGTAGTCACATGAGTTCTACCCAGGTAAACATTCCTAAAAGATGCTCACTGTTAAAGATAGCCACGTTTTGCATCATATCGAAGTCCTGCCGCATAGAGAAGTTTGTATGTATTTGGTTTTAGGGACACGGGAGGGTTAGCAGAGTTTAGTGTCGTTAACATGTCATCATAAATAAAAGGGTCAAACATTTTAAAATTCATGCAAGGCAATGGTACCAGTATTGAAAGCCACCTGTATTATTTCAAATGCAAGCGTGCAAATTTTTTAGTTTGATCACTATGGATACAGGCATCTATACAACTTCATTCAATTTTTTTCTCAGGTGAAATAGTGCAAGAAGTATCATTCCACAAACGCGCCTGTCAATGATCCACCATCAAATTGTTCAAGTGTTCGATTTAAATGTCTCCTCCCCTTGATTTAAATAAACGGAACTCAAAATAGGTTCCCTACGACTTTTCCGGATTTGGGGTATCTATAGGCATTTCAAAAAACTTCATTTGTTTCGAATCCATGCTGATTTAGGTGATGTTTTAACGTGATTTTAATTAGAAATGTCCACTTGTGTTTAACTATTACCAAACGAGAACAATTGGGTAGTATATTCTAAAGTAATACGGCACTGAAAGGGCCCATTAAGCATTGCTTAAGTGCACTTGTCCTTTGTCAAGTTGACAGATAACAGTTAAGACAGACAATAAATAAACCAATGAGAAAAGCTCACTTGTGCTATAAATCTCTGAATTATACATTATAATTCCATTATCTGAGTGACTTACTGCTGAAGTCTTTAGGGGGTGGGGGTGGAGGCTCATTAGTCTGTTCCCCTTCCTCTGTGTTTATCCACTTCTTCTTAACGTCATCCCACACAATCTACAAAAAAAGTTAGCATCTAAATTTCATGATTCATTCCAACAATTCAGAGGAAACTGTATTTTTTTTTTTAAGTACATCTAAAATCCATATTAGTAACTGCAGTAAAGCAACTGATTTTTGAGTGCCATTTACAGCTTTATAACATATTACCGATGGTTTCTTGTCATCTGGCAGCTTCATTTCATTGACATCAGGATTCTTGTCTTTCTTCCCTTTAAAAGGCCACCAACTCCAACCCTCCTATTATAAATAACAACAGAAATTTATAGGATAAAACATGCTGCAGCTTATGCTTTAATCTTGTACATGATGAAAACAATCATCCCTTTAAAAAGGCTATTCAAGTTGAATACAGTCTTAATTTCAGTTCATGAGTATACAAGTTCGTCTAGAGAATAATTCTTTGACTACCTTAGATTTCTTGTCATCTGACAATTTAAAATCAGTCTTTTTCTCTGGTATGGTGTCAGGTTTTTTGGCAGTGGAGGTGGTGTGAGATGGGGGTCCACCGCTGCCTGTACTGGTCTCAGATATTGTTCTCGGTCTCATCTTAGGAGCCACAATCTACAAAATACAATCATACGATTATCAAATGTACTAAAGATACTCAAAATGAATTCAAATTGAGTTTCCATCGTTTATAACATTAGAAATAAATTCATGCTTTATTTATAACACAGTGAACTCCATACGGTAAACAGTTTATAATAAGCACCGATATCTATCTTAATACACTTGTGCTCAGAAAAAACTAAAGCTATGTTTTTTTAATAGAGTATATGAAGTTAGACTATTCTAATTCTGTACAATTTAGAGAAATAATCAAGAATGACCTCTGGAATCTGGAGATCTCTCCTGGTTTGGACTTAGAACAGTCTGATGAAAAGTAAACTTTTTTTTAATTTTTATTTTTTTTTTCATTTTTAAAATTACAACACCATTTCATTCAAATCAGACAGAAAAATGCAGTAAGTAAAAAACTTTAAATAGAAATATTTGAAGTAAATTTTTCATTCACTGAAAAATAAAAAAAATGTCAGCCAGATTTATGTATCTTGAAACATTAAACACTTTAATCAGGTCATAATGTGATTTTTTTTAATTTCTCTAGTTTCAATTGCTCACCTGCTGTGAACTGGCCCCCACAGCGCTGAAGTAATCAAACGATGATCCACTTGGGATGTTGTGGGATCCTGCTAAACTGTCATCTTCTTCTTCTTCATCATCTTCTTCCTCATCCTCTGTGGTGACAGTGTTGGTAGAAATTAAACTGTTCCTGTGCTGCTGTGTGGTTGCAGAGTGGTGACTGAATTGAGACTTGGCATGCTGACCTAAAATTAAACAGGAAATAAAAGAAAGTCAACAGATTTGCTTCTGAGTAAGAACATATGAATATTCACTCTGATGAAATTCTTATGGCAGTTCATCCATAACTTTTCAAAAGGGGGGACTAATCAATGATAAATTGGACATGCACATTTGCATCACAGTTTCAGCAAAGTGAAGCACCTACTGAAATACACAATATATGAAGTTTCCAAACTAATTAAAACAAAAACTTAATCATCAGATGTGCTATCATTTCATCATAATTAATTTCCAAATACAAATAAAACCACAGTCAGCATTAATACCACTATACTGAGAGAGATTCAACCACAGTCAGCATTAATACCACCATACTGAGAGAGATACTATACTGAGAGAGATTCAACCATAGTCAGCATTAATACCACCATACTGAGAGAGATTCAATCACAGTCAGCATTAATACAACCATACCGAGAGAGGCATTATCCACATATCCACATTTATACATATTGATAGGAAACCCCACCTTGTGAGTTTGGGTCATAGTAGTTCTGTGTGTTTTCATTCCCAGTGTTTGTCTGTTGGTTTGTCTGTTGGTTGACTAGATGTTGATTTGGATCATACTGCTGGTAGCCTTTAAATTATTCAAAATCAAAAAATCATATAATATTTAATGAAATTAGAAATTATCACATATTTTTGTTTTCCTTCAAAAACATGTACACTTAGTTGATAAATGTGCATGAAAATGACTTTAAAAATGTATTACCACTCTGAGGAAACTGATTTTGATGCTGCCACTGAGAATTTGGGTCCACCCCTGCATTCTGATATGCATTAGGATCCACTCCCTGTGTGTATGCCTCTTGGTGGTTCTGATAATCTGAAGCTTGTTGTGAACCATACCCAGCAGCTGCATGCTGTTGATTTTCCTGAGGTTGACCATATTGATTGTATGTGTTGGGTGCCTGGGAATATTCTGTCTGTTGCTGAAATATTGTTAGATCAGTTCTCTACATTTTACACTTTACATGGTGGTAACAAGAATTTGATGGCTAAAAAAACCGAAAACTCAGAAATTCATTCCATTTTATTTTTGTGTACCTGAGTAACATTTGGGTCTGGTGTAGGGTAGCTCTGCTGGGCTTGATAGGCCTCCTGTCCATATGGCACTTGTGGTGGTGGCATTATGGTGGATTCTCCACCTGCTATATAACCTGCCACTTCTCCACTTTCTGTACTGGCTGCACGCATTCCATAACTTCCACCATAGGGTGTGACACTCCCAGACAAAGGTTGAATAGATCCATCCTGGAAACCAAAAAATATTTCTTGTTTTACAATGAAAGAAAACAAAAAATATACATGAACACACTATATTTGGCACTTTCTGTTCTCTTTAGAAGGGCACTCAAAGAAGTATTACCTGAAATCCAGCATTAATTTTTGACAGCTGTTGTAACCAGTATGGATCTTCATCTTCTGTGGAGTGAAGTTTCTGAGGATCAAAGTACTTCAGTCGGTCTCCCAGCTGTTCAAAATTAAATCAGCTGTTTACTTTTACACATTGAACAGAAAGCATCTTTCAAAATTACCCGTACCTATGGGTTCATCTTATATTTCTTTGACAGACTTACCTCAAACACAAGCTTGACTAGAATAGGTTGAAATAAAGTTGG